CAGCTCCTGGACGCAGGGCCCAGGGGCTTCCAGGTAGCCGAGCACTTTTGTAACCAGACAGATGTTTGTGCAGGAAAAGGCTTCTGAGGCAAGCCCTCGACTCGATGCTGACTGGCCAGGGACCAGACTGGGAGATGGTATGCCTGGGTCCCCAGCCAACTCTGTTCTGGCCTCAGTTTCCCCATCGGAAAATGAGCAGCCCCACACTCACTGCTTTGGGGGGCTGCTTGCTGAGATCCAGACTCCCAAATATGGTGTCCACCGGATAGGGGATGTCTACACTAGAAGAGCCAGTGCCCGGCCAGTGCTGGGCAGGTGAGGCTTCTCCTTGGCCCCCAGGGGCACCAGGGAGCTCAGATGTACATGGCAGACAGAGGCCTCCTGGCAGCTTTGCTGTTGCCCTACACCAGCCAAGGCCCAGGAGGCAGGGGATAGATGGGGTGGGGCCCAGAGTGGGAGGGCGTGGAGCCCCCGAGGGCCAGGGGCAGCAGAAGGGGCAGAGAGAAATAGAAGAGCGTGGTCCAGACGGCAGCCACTCGGGGTTACTGCCAGGAGAAGGCGTAAGGGGCTTCGAAGGAGCCAGGTGGGGGGCATCTGGCTCTGCCGCCAGGTGCTTCCTGCCGCCCGCCTTGCCTGCCCAGCCCCACAGGAGCCGCTGTTTTCCACGGTGAGGCCCAGCCGTGGCCAGACCTGCGGTCCCCCGGGGCCCTCCGCAGATCTGGGGCCCGGTGGGGACGCTCAGCAGTGTCTCCTCTCACAGCCTGTCCGTGACCAGTTGGAGCAGGGATGGGAAGCAAATGTGTTTATAAAGCTTTAAACCCGTTTATGGGCCAGGGGTTGGATTGACAATTCAGCCGGATTCTCAGCACACTGTCCCAGCCGGCAGTGCAGACTTGGAGTCGCTGTGAGGTGGCCTCTGCCCGGCTCCCACTGGCCTGTCTGGCGCTCCTGTGCCTGAGCTGTCCCTGCACCCACGGCCCTGTCCTTGCTCCGCGGCCCAGCCAGGTGGAGACAGCCCTCCAGCAGGAGGGTTCCAGAGGCTCCTCCCCACCCACCCACCTGGTACCCATGGCGCAACTTGTTCTCAGAACCCTGGTTGCCGAGTCCACCAGCTTCCCTCCGTGTCCCCCACGAGGCTCCGTCACTGTCCTCTCAGACGCCTGCCTTGCATCTGACCCCCAGGCCCCATGCAGAGCCTGTGGAGCTGGAGGAGTCCGCAGAACAAACCCTGCCAATCCCAGATAAGGAAACTGAGGCCCGGAAAGAGGTCTCTGACCGAGGTCACCAACAAGGCTACAACAGGATGCTCCTCCACCTGCTGGGCCTCAGGGACTGCACAGGCCCCTCAGGCTTGGGCTGGGGTGCAGCCTCTGAGGAGGCCTGGGAAGACAGCGGGGTGCAGGGAGTGGGAAGCTGGCCCTGCGTCCATCTCTTTCCTCCAGCGACCAGACAGTGGGACATGGTCCCTCCTAGTCCTGGCAGCTTGAAGCCCTGTGGTGTTCAGAAAAGCTCTGGAAGTCTTCCTGGAGGAGGAGGGCTTGTGCTGGCTTTGATGGCAGGAGGGAAGGGCGCCCCGGAATGGGGCTCAGCAAGCACAGAGGAGGGGCTGGAGGGTGGGAGCTGAGGGCTGTGTCTTTCTCGGGACTGTTCGGAGCTCACTGTGGGTGACATGGCCTGGCCCGAGGCCTTCAGCCCATCATGGAGTCGCTGCTCCTGGGCAGCCTGAGACTCTCTGGCTGCCCCTGTATTGGAGTGGTGGCTCCTGACAACCCTGGGCACCTGGCCTACCCGGCACCCTGCCCACCGTGCCCCGGGGCCAGGCAAGGCAGGGGACTGGTGGCTGCAGACCTGAGAGCGGCCCTGAGAGGGACACGGTGCTCTGCTTCTCGCAGCCCCCGGTGGCTCCACTACAGACAGGCACGGGGGCATGGGGGTGGGGTGGAGACATTAGCCCTGTCCCCCCGGGGACCAGAGCAGGTGGTCTGACCCCCTGCAGGGGCCCTTAGCTGTCCCCAGGGCCATCTGCCCACCCAGCCACCTCCATAGCCACTCATAGTTCTCACTCCCCGAGCTTGGTGGTGTCCCCCGGTGCGGCCGGGCAATGGTGATCAGCTCTGGCTGCAGAGGGAGGCCAGCCCAGGCCCTGCACCCCTGTGTCTGTCCCTCCTCCTTCCAGCTCCTCACACATGGCCAGCCATGCAGTATACTGCTCGGCTGCTCTTTGTGGCCAGTGGGGGCCAATGGGCTGTCGGATCCCAGTTTTACGTCCCAGGAGAGCAGCCAGCTGTCCCAGCCGGGGCACATGCCGACCCCACCCCAGTGAGCTGGTAGTCAGCCTCTAGGCTCAGGGCCAGGACACAGAGCAGGGGCCGGCACCCCAAATCTGTCATCTGTAGTACCCACTCCCACAGCTCATGGTGGGGCTCTGGGCATTTGTATAGAGGAGGCTTGGGGCTCGCACACAGCCCCAAGGTGGATGGGAACGTCTGGTGGGCCCGGTCACCCTGCACCCCTACCTCGCTGGGTGGGGGCTGGGCAGGTCTTGGGTCCCCTGCTGGCCCACGGGGCTGGTGTGAGGGGAGTCTGTCCAGAGGGACAATGGGAACAGGATGTCCTCTGTGCTGGAGGTCTGCCCTCCTGGCCAATTGGTGCCTGCATCGTGGACCAGCCTTGATGGGCCGGGGTTTGTTGGGGTCTCCTGAATGGCCCCACTCAGTTCCCAGGCCCCGGGCATTGAAGCCCAGGACCTCCCCACCTTTGTGGTCCCTATCCTGAATAGGGCTCCCTGGGGTCCCTCCACCACCCAGGAGAGGCCCCATCTGTGTCCCTGTGAGTCCACAGGGGCGGTGGGGCGGTGGGCCTGGGCCTTGGCTGCCTGCTGCTCTGTCTGGCTTGCCGAGAGGGCACCTGGAGCCATACTTGGGCAGCAGCCCTGTGGATCCCACCAGTGAATCAGTCAGCCTGAGCCGTTGGGCGGGCTAAGGTGGCTGGAGCCACCAGGCAGGGTGCCCAGGATGTGCCAGGTCTTGCGGTTCCTTCTCTGTCTGCACTCCCTTGTCAGGACGCTTTGTGCCCTCCTGCCTGTCTTTGGAACCATCAGGGGTCTGTCTGTGTCTCCGTCTGTCTCCTCCAGGTCCAGAGGACTGGCTGTCCATCTGTCTGCCTGTCCATCTGCATGGCCCTGCCTTTCCATCTGTCAGGGTCTGGGTTCCAGGCCCAGCTTCCCTGGACAAACCCTCCCTGTCAGCATGTATCCACAGCCCCTCTATCTCTCCCAGGGGCTCCCACTAGCCCCTGCCCGGTCCTGTGACCCTCCAAGTCTGGCCGCCAGTCCCTGAGGACTGCATTGCCTCCTGCCGCCCCCACACACCCTAGACCGGGATCCTGTTTGTCGGGTGTGCACCCACATTCCAGCACCAGGGTGAATCTGCCGGATCCCAGCAAGCCTTTGGCACGGGTTCTCCAGACACTTTTGAGGCCATCAAGCTCATCTGAATGCTGCTGTAGAAGCCGAGATGGGAGGGGGCACCTGTGCCGTGGGGCCCGGGCCAGCTGGTGACCTGGGCTCCTGCGCGCGGCAGCTCGGGCAGCTGTGAGAGGCCAGGGGGCCTCTGCACTGGCACTCAAGGGTGCACCGGATGTTGCCCATCCAGCATGGGCCTGAGGGTGCAGAGGCCTCAAGAAGCTCCAGTCTTGTCCTCAGGAGAGGCAGCATGGATTGGCCATATCTGGAGAGAAGTCGCGGGACAGCAAACCTGGGACTTAGCAAAACTGTCTGGAGGGGCCACACACCGGACGCTTTACACTGTGGGCATTGGGGCCAAGTGCTTTTGATGACCGAGGAGCAGAGTTAAATTTACTTTTTAATAAAAACAACACCCCCCAAAAGGAACCTGAGTATAGAGTTGGTGGGGAAAAAGTGACACTGAGAATGATTTCCTGCGACTTTGAAACTCTGTGGACCACGTCCCTGAAGTGATAAGCACAAAAGGAACAAAGGAATACCAAATACTTCCGGGAGACTTGTTAGGAAAGGTGTGGTGATATTATTTCAGGACTAGCAGACATGAAGGAAAGCACAAATAAGACAATGTTAACAAAAATAAGATTTCACTGCAAAAGTCAGCAAGTGTTAACAATAAGCCCTGGGCTGGGGATTTAGCCCAGTGGTTCTGGCCCCTGCTTCGCAAGCCCAAGGTCCTGAGTTCGATCCCTGGTCCAAAAAAACCCAGTAAGCCCCAATTTTAAGTGGAAATATTGACATGAACTCATATTTTATTTTTCTTCTTAAAAAATAAAGAACTGCCCCCAGCTGCGGTCACTGAAAACATCCAGGACTTGGGGACCAGGAGCTATGGGGACCCCCTGCCATCAGGCAAAACCCTGCCGGGGCCCAGATGAAAATGATGGAGGGTTCACCCCAAATCCACAGCCCTACGGGACCAGTGAATGTGGAGAAGAGTAGAGACAATTGTGGGCATGGTGCCGCACGCCTGTAACCCCAGCACTTGGTGTAGCTCAGCAGGGCAGTGCTTGCCTAGCGTGTGTGAGGCCCGGGGTTTAATCCCCAGCACCCAAAAAGCTCCCAGGAATAAATCTGCTTAACAATACCGCCAGGAGTACATTCTATGGAGACTGCGGTGGTGAAGTTTGTGTTATGAGCATTTTACCACAATAAATATTTAAAAGCCAAAGGGTCAGTGGTGTTAAAGAGTGGAATGTGATCAGAGATTACATTGAGAAGAGAAGTTTGTGATACAAAAAAACCAAAGATGGTCGTGTTCAGAGAGAAAGCAGGAGGCTGGTGGCAAAGCCCTGGGCTCAGCTTGCCGGAGTTGGATGAATAGTGTGTGCTTGCAGGGAAACTGAGGCCGAGCAGGACTGCTCCTGGCACCCACCCCCTGCCCGGCGGTGTCCAGCCTCCCTTGAGCGAGCACAGCCAGGGCAGTTCCTCCTCCCCTGGCGCTGTCTCCTGGGTGACACCATGGCATCTGTTGCAGGCTGTTGATGGAGAAGTGGGCGGATGACAGCTGGGACTGTGGTCATCACCGGGGGCATCTTGGCGACTGTGATTCTGCTCTGCATCATCGCTGTTCTCTGCTACTGTCGGCTCCAGGTACCCGGGGCAGGCAGGGCATGGGGCAGGGACCTGAGGAGGCCCTGCCCCAGGAGTGGGGACAGCCAGTTGTCGGACGAGGTGCTGGGCCCTGGGCCCTGGGGTGGTGACAAAATGCCACCTCCCCCAGGACTTTGGCTGGGGCTCGGAGAGGGTCCAGACCCCCAGGGAGAGAGCAGAGGTGGGCACCGGGGCTGCCCTGTGCACTTCGTCCCCCACCCGTGCTCCAGGACCATCAGAAGCCCCAACATCTCCCCAAGAGAGAAGAGGGGGCCTTTTGTGCAGGGCCAGGCACCCAGGGAGGGTTGGAGCCCAGCTCCCAGCTCTCAGGCTGCCTGCTGCTTGTGCCCCCGCTCCCCCCTGTGTTGGGGCTGCTGCTCGGACGAGACTACGAGTCACAGGGAGGCGCTGAGGGTGAGGCCGGCAGGTCCTCCCCTGGGCATCCGGGACTCCTCTCCGGGGTGCAAACCAGGGTGTGGCCCCCCTGTGCTCTCCCGTAGTACTACTGCTGCAAGAAGGACGAGTCGGAGGAGGACGAGGAGGAGCCCGACTTTGCCGTGCACGCGCACGTGCCGCCCCTGCACTCCAACCGCAGCCTGGTGCTGACCAACGGGCCGGCGCTCTACCCCGCCGCATCCACCTCCTTCAGCCAGAAGTCCCCGCAGGCCCGAGCCCTCTGCCGCAGCTGCTCCCACTACGAGCCGCCCACCTTCTTCCTGCAGGAGCCGGACGACGACGACGTGGACGAGAGCGTGCACAACGGCGGGGAGCGTGTGGCCTACAGGAGCATCAGCCAGGAGGACGTGGAGCTGCCGCCCGGGGGCTTTGGGGGCCTGCAGCCACTCAACCCCAACCGCCTGTCGGCCATGCGTGAGGCCTTCTCCCGCAGCCGCAGCGTCAGCACCGACGTCTGAGCCTCTGACCAGTGGCCGCAGCCTGCGGTCACCCTGCCCTGGGCCGCCCTGAGGCCATGGCAGGAAGCCTGTGTCGCCCACCCCCGCCCCAGGTCTGACCAGGGCTCTGCAGAGCCGTCCTCCTGTTCACGTCCAGGTCCCCCGGGCCCTCTGGGGGATAAGGCTCAGTGAACACAGGTGTGGCCACTGTGGGTGGGGACAGCTGGGCTGAATGGGTGGCAAGCCTGGCCCAGGGACAGGCGAGAGGCAGGGGAGTGAAGAGAGCTTGGGGCTGGGCCTTGGGGCGGGGCCGTTTTCAGGAGGTGTGGGACAGCAGCACAGCCATCTCTGGCCTTGGGGCCACTCCCACCCTGGCACCCACCCTCTCACTGCTCCGGGAGAGTGGTCTCAGTGGCGCCAGGGCCCTGACTGCAGACAGAGGGCTCTGTGCCTGCAGCCTTCGCTCGCCCCCCCCCCCACTCTCTGGGCTCTGGGTGCAACGCACCTGAGAGGCCCCCGTGCTGAGCTCCCTGCTGCTGGACAGCCTCCCCCACACGAGGGCGAGGCTTGGAACAGCAGGGTCCTTGGCACAGTGGGCACGGGACAGGGAGATGCTGCTTGAGGGGCTCAACCATGAACTGACCCAACCAGCAGGCAGAGACCCGAGGCAGGCAGGCAGAGAGGGGCAGATCTGTGGCCCCTAATGCACCGCGAGGCTTGGACAGGCCTCCGTAGCTCTGGGCCTGTGTCTCCATGCCTGTGTGAGGGTGCTGGCCCCAGGGCCCTTCCATCTCTGGGTCTCCCCAGGAGCCGAGGTCCCCAGGGGAGGCAGAGCTAGGGGCCACCGAGCCTGCATGTGCTTCCTGCTTGGAGCGAGGCCCAGGCCCGGCCCTACCTGGTGCCCAGAGGGTCCCGCGAAAGAGCTAGCTGCCCCGTGTGGAGGCCTCACTGTGTCTGCGCCCTACAGGCTGCAGCCCAGGCCTCCCTGGGAATTCTGGCTTCTCCCCTGCCTCCTTGGTGGCTAAGCTGCCTGCACACCACCCCAGGGAAGTGCCCCAGCCAGGGCACTGTCACAGAGCACAGTGCTGCCTGCCAAGAGGCTGTGTGAACCGAGGCAAGAGTCCTCCCCTCAGGCACCCTCTCTCCCTGCCTGGAGCCCGGGATGGGGCGAGTGCACCCACAAAGCTGCAGAGCCACCATCCCCATTCTCTCCCTCCTCCTCGTCCTCCTGCCTGCCCAGTCTGATGTGCCAGGGGATTCGCCTCACTGAGTCCAGCTCCCCTCCCTGGCTGGGTCCCCACCATCAGCGGGGCTGCAGGTACGGCCTGCTCCCTCCCATCCCCTGCCTGTCTGGCCTCTGCCCTTTCTGTACAGACCCAGAGATCCCTTTGAAAGGAACTAAGAGTGTGTCCGTCCCAGCTTACCCAATGCCACAGCCCTGGGGCCCGCGGGGGCCAGGGAGCTCCCAGAGCAAAGCGAGAGCCAATAAACCTGTTTCCCACACTTCACTCTGCGTCTTCAGTCCCAGTCCCTGCCAGGTCCCAGTGCAGAACCTGCCCAGAAGCCACCCTACTGCCAGCTGGAGTCAGCTGGTGGGGTCTAGGCTGTGTCCTGAGGGGCCCAGAGCAGCACTCTAACAAGGGGACCGCACAGCAAGCCTCCTTGGCTTCCTGCTTCCACCAGGGCTGTGTGGCTGCTCCAAGACTAGGAACCCCAGGGAAGAACAACCCTATCGGGCTTTAACCTGGGGCGATTGGCTGAGCCCCCAGCATGAATGCAAGGGGGGCAATGACTGTGTACCCCCTCTGTGGGACTCTCAGGAAGAGGGGACAGGCAGTGCATACAGTAAGTGCCCAGTGAGTGCTGGCAGGAAGGAGGACGGGGAGGACGGAAGTTAGGACCGGAGGATTTGGGGTGGGGAGGGGGCTGAGCAGAGAGACAATGAGGGGAGGATGTGGTTCTGCCGGTTCGGCAGGGGGCTCAGGGGTGACCTGCAGCAGGCGCGTCCCACCAGCCTCTAGGTCCAGGGACTTGGAGACTAGAGCGAGCTCTGGTGGCATCGGCCCCATTGCAGCCCCGCCATAAATATGAGGCAGGTGCCCGCATGCGCAGAGGCAAGCACAGCCTGCTGGGTCGCTGCCTGCTCCCCCAAAGCCAGGTCCTGCAGAAGATGCCCTGCTAAATGCGGCTCTAGGTGGGCCCTGTTCTGTGTCCCGGACTGGGCACCGCCCACCCAGAGCCCCAAGAGGCACCCGCTGGCCTCCCTGTCCCCTGCCCGTGGCCATCCAGGCTGGCAGCTGGGGACTTGGGTAAGGACACCTGGCCTGCACTCCCTCCCCAGTGCCTTTCTTGGCCTGTGCACTGGCTGGGGACCCCAAGCTGCAGTTCTCCTGCTTCCTCTTCCCACCCTCGAGTGGAGAAAAAGCTGCAGAGGTCCCCAAGGCCCAGTGTTCCCCACAAATCCACATGAGATGCCCTCCCCCAGACTGGAGCCAGGCATGGAGGTGCAGGCTGCCTGCAGGTGCAGAGGCCCGGTCACCTCGAAGTCCCCCAACTGCCCTGGGCCCCACACCAGTGGACAGTGGGCCTGCGGCTCCAGCCAGTGCCAGCTCAGTGCAGGGTCCTGCTGCCCTCGCCCCTCCCTGTCCCCCACCTCTGCACCTTTGTTGAACCCTCCAGGGTCCCCAACCGCCCTGGAGCCTGCCATAAATATGACCACTTTATTAACATACACCAATGAGTACTGAGGGGTTACAGGGTGCCCTGCTGTCCATGAACAAATACAACATAAAAAAGAGGGCCTGCCCTGGGCGTAAAGTGCACTGCCCCTCCAGCACACGAGCTCCTATACAGCTGGCAGAGCCCATGCTGGGCCATGCGATCAACCCCCTGGAAGGAGGATGCATCCACACATCAGGAACCAGGGCGCTCTGGGCCTCCCAGTGCCCTGTGGCTCCCACAACCCCGAGTCACCGAGGGAGGGAGGCCATTCCCTTCCCCAGTCATCTGCAAGTCACCTTGAGAAGGCCCTGGACACAGGCATGTTCCCCACGCTGGCGGGGCCTCGGGTTCAGCCACAGGGTCCCTGTGGCTCTGTGGACAGCTTCCAGGCAGGCATGGGGCCCTGGAGTCCCTCGTGTGGGCTGCAGCCCAGTGTCAGGTCTTCCCAGCGTGGGCCCAGCTGGATGCAGGACAGTGTCCAGGGAGAGGTCCCTGGAGCAGCAGCAACCCAGGGACGGGGCATGGGTCTCAGGGGCCTGCAGCAGCTCGGCTGGGTGCAGGTGGCCGGCAGGAGCGGCAGCAGGCCTTGCTGTAGTACCAGTGGCCACAGAGGTTCACCTTGATGGCCAGGGCACAGTTGGTGCCTGGCTGGTCCTGGCAGCTGTCATCTGGGGAAGGGACATGGCGGAGGTGGTCAGCAGAAAGCCAAGGGCAAACTTCTACAGGTTCCCTTCACAGCCCACCACCCCCTTTTTATTTTTTATTCTGAGACAGTCTTGCAGAGTCACCATGTGGCTCAGGCTGGATGTGAACTTGTGATCCTCCTGCCTCAGCCTCCCAGAGTGCTGGAATTACAGGCCTGCACCATCACGCCCAGCTAAACTGACACTTCCCAAAGCACAGAGGTCAGCGTGGCACCCCTGGGCCTTGGAGCCTGGCCAGGGCTCCTGGTCCCCTCTCCACCTCCCCTTGGGGAACCTCCATACCTGTGTCCAGCTGGTGCCGGCTAACACCTGCACCCCAGGCCCTGGGCCTCCCTGCAGGAGCTCACCTGGAGGCTCCGTGGGGCACGGTTGCAGGTCACAGGCTTGTCTGCCGACCGGCTTCACCAGCGGGTCACAGCCACGGACAACGTCAGTGCCCTGGTAGCATTTCACGTCCCGCATCCTCACACCCACCCCGCAGGTCTTGGTGCACTGGGGGAGACAGATGCGTGCAGTGAGCCCTCCCAGGCCACCGGCCAGACCCGAAGGGGGCTGAGAACCTGCAGCTGGGGCTACCCCTGCCCCTACACTGCCTCAGTTTCTCCAGAGGCACCGTGAGGGGATGACTGCGTTCCAGTGAGGGCTGTGGCCCCACTGCCCTGGATCTGGAATGGAGGGTTCACTACCGTCCAGTCCCGTGCATCTGGGAAGCCACGGCCCAGCCAGGGCACCCCCTCCAGAGGTTCCCCTCAGACGTGCTCAGCTGCCCCGAGCGCAGGGACATCTGCCGGCCCCGATCCCCCGCCCTCCTGCCAAGACCCTTCCGGCAGCAGCTCCCTGACGCAGGTCCCTGCGTCACCCTCAAGCCTGGGCCCCAGCCCTGGGCTCCAGCCCTGGGCTCCCGAGGTGAGTGAGGCGGGCATCCCCCGCAGCCCGACCTCCAGTTCTGTCTGCACAGGCTCAGGGTAGGCTGAGGAGACTTGGCAGGAGGCGCTGCCCAGCCCCGTCTGGAGGTGAGGAGAGGCCGCCTTGGCGCTGCTGCCAGGGGACAATCAGCCTTTGGCAGGCGCCACAAGGAACCTCTGGATGTGCCCCTGGAGACGGCGGGTTCCACTCCTGGCGCCCACGCCTGCCCCCAGGGAGCGGTTGGGACAGGGCAGCTTGAGGAACAGACCCGAGCCCGAGCCCGGTGCAGGAGGTGGCCACAGCAAAGGACAAAGGTGACAGGGCCTGGGTGCTCACTGTGGCCCTCGTCCCACCTAGCCACTCCTCACCAGACAGTGCTACTTTTGGGGTCCTGTATCCCTGATCTCTCTCTCCCCTTCTGTGGCCCAGAGTTCCTGGACCCACAGCTGCCCTCCCACCTGAACCTGCCACTGGCCCCAGAGTGCTGGGCTCAGCGTGGCTCCCCAAGCCCCTCAGCCACCCAGCAGGGCCCTCTGCTTCCCAACATGCCCCAGTCTCTCCATCTGGCGTTGGCTAAGGGCCGTGGATCCTCCTGGCCCGGGTCTGCCCAGGTCTCCTTGGGGAGTCCAGCCCGGCCTCAGCCTCCGAATTGTCACTGGGGTCCTCGGTAGCAGCTCTGAGCGTCTGTCCTGGACTGTGACAAAGGACGAGGTGGGAGGAGGTCCTTTGGCCTGGCGCACCCCTGGACGGGAGCAGGACCCCTCGGACAGCACCTCATAGACCCTTAGGACCCTCGCCTGGAGCCCCAGGTCATGGAATTTGACGCCCATGGCCCAGCAGCCCACACCAGGCAGCCCCAGCCTGTGGGCTGTGCTGCAGGCACCATAGTGGAGGCTCTGGGCCCTACGTCCCACTGGCACCCCCACTGTCCCCAAGGGCCAGGCACAGGCAGCTGAGACCCTACTCATGCAGCTGGACAGTGGAACCGCTCTCCAGTCCCTGCCACTGACCCCTGGGGACGGCCCTGGGCCCTGCATGCCCTCCTGAGGCTGACAGCTCATCCCGGGGTGACAGTGGCACTTGGGCTCTGGGTGGGGGACAACAGGCAGACTTTGCCAAAGTTTCTGAAGCTGGCTTCCAGTCTCTGGGCACCAGGGAGCTCGGGGGTGTTGACAAGCCCCAAGCCCCAGGACTGCAGCGGGAGGCCTCCACAGGGGGTGCAGACTGACAGGATGGCAGGGGTGCCCTTGCCCTGGCAGGCCCCACCCAGGACTTGGGGCCACTCCTGCCTCAGGGTCCCTGCCTGGGCTCCATGTCCCACCCACCACACCCAGTAACACGGGATCCCAGGAGGTCTCACTGGACGCCTGTCTCTTCCTCTGAGAAATGGAAAGCTTGGCGCCCTCCGCCCAGTTCAAGGGAGGGGACTTCAGCCAGTCCAAACCCCAGGGGAAGGCATGGCTCTGTTGGCAGAGAGAGCACCCGGTTCCACCCAGCCAGCATCCTAAGGCTGGGGACTGCAGCCGAGGAGCCCACAGAAGTGTGCAGGGCCCAGCCCGTGTCGGAGGGGGCTCCCCTACCGTGGGGAAGCGTCCTGGCCCAGGGTCCCACTCTCTTCCCAGCTGTGCCCCACCCAGTGCATCCCACGAAGGGTGTCAGAGCCTCCACACTCCCCCTAAAGGCCACTGTGCAAAGCCGGAAGTGACCAGGCCCCAGAAGGCCCAGGATGAGAACCAGGGGTAAGATCAGAGAAGGCTTCTCGGCAGTGGTGGAGGCACCTGCAGGAGGCACCTAGCGGACGCAAGGGCAGGAGAATGGACTCGGGGCCTCAGGGCTCTCACCTCCGACCAGGGGCTGGTATACCACCTGAAGCAGGGTCTCTCAAAGCAAGTGCTCTCCACCGGCGGCTTCCTGGCCAGCCCACACTCGGGGCCACTGCGCGTCTGTGGCTTCCCATTGGTCAGCTCCATGCAGAGGACCAGTCGCTTCTTCACACCTCGCCCACACGTGGTGTTACACTGCAGGCGCCCAGGGCACAGGTCAGTGGCCCGGCCGGAGGACAGGAACACACGCCACCGGCACATGCACCACGACTCCAGTGACTGGTTTGGCCCATAGCACACGGTGCAGTTTGGCTGAGAACTCTGCTCAATAACCATTTGTCTCCAAATGGATTTGGTCAAAAGCAACTGGGCCCCAAACCATCTGTTGTGAAACAAACGTGCCAATGACAATTTGGCCAGAATCGATCTAGCAGAACAGTTTGGCCTGGCTAACTCAGTTAACAGTGATCTGCCTGAGACGGTTGGTGAAGCTGTAGCAGAGCAATTCGTCGGAGACCGCTCCTGGGTGACAAGTGACGACGGGCCAGTGGGAGGAGGACCGGGTGTGGTAACAGAGGTCGCAGGGTCCTCAAGGCCGGCGGTCGGTGCAGCCAAATGGCCCGCCCTGGAGGACAGCCCACCCGGGACCTCACAAGCATGGCCTACTCCATCGGGAGGCCAGGCTTCCGCCTGCCTTTTTGGCTCTCCAAGCTTTAACTTTTGTTGCTTTGCCCCTTCCTCTGCAGTGACTCCCACGTCCTGACCAGTCACCCGCTGGCCATGGCCCTGTGGCCGCCAGGCACTCACCCGCTCCCAGTCCTGGGCCAGCCAGTGCGCCGGGCAGTTCCTGTCTCCGCAGGGGTGGATGGCGAGGGGCTTGGTCTCCGCCTGGCACTGGGACTCGGGCACCACCCGTCCGTCGCTGGTCTTGCAGTACACGTGCCTGATGGTGCGGCCCTGCCCACAGCTCCCACTGCACTGCAGGAGGGCCGTCGGGGGCTTGAGGGGAGCCTCGCGCCTTGAGTCCCCACCCATGTGGTCCCCCCCGCGGAGAGCAGCGGCTCCCAGGGCAGCGCAGGGAAGCGGTTGCTGTGGTAACCACTTTTAAAATAACATTTCCTGCTCTAATTACGGAAATAACACGGTCGATGCTGAACACACACAGAGAAAAGCGCAGCTTGCGGGGTACGCGTGCACCCCCCACACCTCCAGCAGAGGCGGCCTCAGCCAGCACCTGGCGAGAACAGGGACCAGAGGTGGGCGGACACAGGCAGGGAGCGCAGAGGGGCAGAGGCAAGGAAACAAGCGGACAGGGCGGCAGGGAGAGAAGACAGAGACGCGGAGGTGGAGACAGAGATATGGAGACAGAGACACAGACAGGGAGAGACAGGTGGAGAGGGAGAGAAGAGATACAGAGAGATGGAGGCAGGGAGAGACAAAGGCAGACGGGGAAAAACAGGGACACTGAGAGGCAGAGACAGACACAGGGCGCCCGACAGGGCCGTGCAGGGAGGGAGGCCCTGCCTCTCGCTCTTGGATCACCGTTGGGCTCTCGCACCAGTGAGAGAGGGACCAGTACCCACCACTCCCTCTCCAGAAAAATGGGGAAACTGAGTCAGGGCCCTGGGGGGGGGGGTGCCCCACGGCCCACGCCCTCACCGGTCCCCAGTCTGAGACGGTCCACTGGCGGTCGCAGGGGGGCCCGGTGCAGTTCTTCTCCCCCACGGGCCGGGTGCTGGGGTCACACAGCTCCTCATCTTCGGAGCAGCGGATGTCCCTGGTCACCACGCTGCGCTCGCCGCACCTGGCAGTGCACTGGAGGAGGCGGCTGGTGGGCACACTCGGGGCCCCGTGCCGCCGCCCGCCGCCCGCCGCCCGCCCGGCCCCTCACCTCACCTCCGACCACTCGGACATCTCCCACTGCGGCCCGCAGGCCGGGTTGCGGCATGTCTTGCGCTCCTCAGGCCGCACGGCCTCTGTGGCCTCGCACAGATCACTGTACACGGAGCTGTCGAAGCCGGGGGACAGCATCTTCCAGCAGCGCACGATGCGGGCCTGATAGCCCTCACCGCACGTGCGCGAGCACTCGCTCCAGCTGCTGGTCTCCCACCTGCCGGGGCAGGGCAGGGCGGCCCTCAGCGCCCCGCCCCACAGCCCAGACACCTCACTGCAGCCAGCCAGGCCACACAGGAAGGGGTGGGGCCGGGGCTTTTCTGGCCCCAAAGCAGTGCTGGCTCTGAGCTGCTTTTGCCCGCCCTCCCTGCAGGCCCCAGGGCCATTCCCACCTCCTGGGAACCGGTGGACACCCCAGTGTCCGGAGCCCCTGCCTGGAGCCAGGGCGATGTGAACGGGAGGCCTGGGTGAACCTCTCCACCCAAGCTGGGGGTGAGCACCAGGGGGAAACTGGGGGATCCTGGGAAGACAGGCTGGAACAAGAGGTCTGGAGTCTATGGGCTCGGGGATACAGGGGTCTCCTGCCCTTCCCGGAAGGAAGCAAATGCCCAGGACGCAGAGGCAGGAAGGAGAAAGGGAAGGTGGCCCTGGCAAGCAGAGGGCAGCACAGGTTTGGCCTCTGGGGTGGAGCCAGGCCAGCATCTCGGAGTCCCAGCCTGGTGGTCCCAAGGGGACTCGGAGCTGGGTCTTGACATGGTCCACGATGCAGGACGGGAGGCCAGAAAGTGGGCCCCATACCAGCAGGACAGTGGGCGTCTATTTTAGGGTTGGTTCTTTTCTGAGCCTGCAGAACCCAGTGCAGAGGCCAGCTGCTCCTCGGGGCAGAGCCCCAGTGCACGCACCTGACGCCCCACCAGGGGCGGCCATGGCACACACACACCCCCCGTGCACCCCAGCGTGCTGCGGGCCCTGGCAGGACCTGGGCTGGCACTCCCTCCCGGCGCAGAACTCGTGCACGGGCTCGGGCCGGGTCAGGGCGTCGCAGTAGCTGTCGTCCACCTCGACACCGTCATAGCGGACACACAAGGCGTAGGTCGACATCACCCCTGGGTTCAGGGCAGGGGAAAGGCCATGAGTGTGTGGTGGGTGGACGGGCCACCTCCTGGCATCTGTGCCTCAGGACCAGACCTCTTCTCTTCCGCCCGGCCCAGCTTCAGCACCCAGCTTGGCGGCCCAAACCCTGGGCTTAGGCAAACCCAGCCTGCCCAGACGTGGAGGAGAGGGCAGACACAGCCGGGCGCCACTGCCTTTCACTCGTCCAAAGAAAAAAGTCCAGCCAGCCTCTGGGTGTCAGCTTAGATGCCTGTCCTTAGCACAGGTCCCCTTGGGCTGCTGCAATCATTCCCCTGGGTGGCATGGACAGGCACAGGGCAGCTCCCTAAGGGCAGGCAGCCCCTGCCCAGGGCCAGTCAGGGCAGAGGTTTGTGTGGGAAAGCCCTGGGGTGCCCTGGGGTCTCTTGTCGGTGGTAGGGGATGTGAGTAAGAAAGACCCAGGCCTCTGCGGTTCTGGGGTAACATGTGGGTTAGGCCAGGGGCACACCCCTCTCTGGCAGCAGTGGGCTGCACCGTCCTCAGCCTGCTCACAGGGCAGGTGGCCCTGGCCAGGTCCGCTTGGATCGTCCAGGCTTGGTGACACCAGCCCTGACTGGGCCCCACAAACCCCTCCCTGAGCCTGGTTATTCACTGGTTCCTCCTTGTCCGTCTGGGTGGAAACAGAGAGGCTGGCACTGGAGCCCCCTGGGCCCTCTGATCGTAACCAGACTCCTCCAGCCTCAGTGCGCTAACCACAGAACAGGAATGTCTCACGGAGGCTGTGACAACCCCAGGGCGTCCCTGGACATAGAACGGCCTGGGCTAATGGCCCCTGAGCCAAGTCCCTGCCACCCCATCCCCCACACCATACTGTAGTGTCCGGGAGAGGGGACAAGGAATAGTCTGGAAGGCCCTGCCCATGGCCCCGAACTCATCTACCTGCATTGCTGCTCCAAAACAGCATTTCAGAAAAAACAAGATCCCCAAAGCCGAAGTGCAGGGCACAGGACGGTCCAGGCTCTGACTATAACTTCCACGTGGGGCCTGGGCTTCACGGAGCACGGGGACTGCTGTGGGCGGTGACCCTCCCTGGACAGTGGTGGGCACACTGTGGCATGCAGGGCCCCGAGCCCCACAGCAGCCAGCCCACCCTGCAGCCTTACTGCAGCCTGAGTGTCGAGCACCAGGTTTCAGGGCGGAATGCCAGAATGGCTCCGGGAGGGACAGGAAGGCCCGGTGCCCTTTCCGCCTGGCCCCTCCCTGGGTGTTGAGAGGCAAAGCCGCCATGTTCTCCCCCGGCACGTTGCCCACACGGGGCTCTCCCTCAGCCAGCAGCGTGTCGAGTCCTTCACTTCCAGTCCCGATACACTCAAGTGCCCGGGCCAGGGTGGGCAGCAAAGCACACACCCAACACCTCCCATCAGGCTCTCTCCCCTGGAGCCAGCCCACAGAGGGAGGGTCACATGCACACATCTGGGGGCCAGGCCCCTCGGCTCCAGCTCCGGGCTCTCTAGACTAGCGACAGTGCCCACCTGCTGAGCTCGGCCATGTGGGGTGCTTTTCATTTTCCACAGTGCCCACACACCCTTTGGGATAAGGACACACTCAGTCCATGGAGGGGCGGGGAAGCTGTGTGCCAGGGTCCCCGAGCTGCAGCACACAGAGCCTTCCTGCACCTGTCACACACACCCGCAGAGCCACTTTCCCTGAAGGTGCCAGGCCTCAAGAAGGGCTGGCAGTGTGAGCAGAACCCTATGCATGGTCCTTCCTCACCAGGGCCTGGCCCCCTGAGATGTCAGCCAGGGGTACCGGACACAGTCAGGCCAGGACACCTCAGTGTGCTCACTGGCCAGAGTGCAGAGTGTTCAAAGCCCTGTCTGCTGGGGATTCTGGGAAGGTGGGGATGTCATGGACCTCAAGGACACAAAGCCTGGACACAAAGTCCCAAGTGTGGCTGCAGTGTGACCTCAGCGCTGGCCCTCGGGGTCTCCCTGACACTGCCCCGTGCCAGTCCTGGGTCTGACCTCTGACCTTACAGCCTCCCCGGGCAGGAAATCAGAGCAGGCAGCAGAGACTACTGAGCCCCTGGTGGCCATGGCCAGCAACCCAGGGTGGGGGTGCACGGCCAGAGCCCGGGTCCAAGGCTACCTTGATGCCTAGGTGTCTTTCTGTTGGGCGTCCCCTCCCAGGGGTCTCTGTGCCTCTCCTCTCTCCTCCCCCGAGGATGGGTGATGGCCTAGACTTGGCCTATGCTCTCTGGCGTGGATTCAGGGTCCACCCCTCCCCTCCCGCACCCCCCGAAGCTTCCCACTGCTCCCAGAGACCCTAACACTGCACGACAGCAAGGGCAGCAGACGAGGGAGCCTACGAGCAGCTGGGGTGACCCCAGAGTCCAGGTCCATGCAGCCCAGCACGCTGAGGGACTGACATCCAACTCTCACCATGGCACACGATTGCAGGTTATGGATCATTGGGCCAGCCCCACAGTCAACTCCAGGGCACCGTAGGGGCAGGCTCAGGGTGGGTGCCCACAGCACCCATGACACCCATGATGCCCAGGGACACCTGTAACAGTACCTGTGGTACAGGTGGCACTGCAGGGCTCGTGGGATGACAGCTTCCACCGGTACATGTCAGCTGGGCTCACGCCTGGCTTGCGTGCCTTGGGCCGGGTTCTGGGCCAGGAGAGGAGAGAGGGCGGTGAGGAGACATCCTCACAGCTCAGCCAGTGGGTCTCCCAGGACCCTGCTGGGAGGCCAGGGCCCTGGGGACAGAATGGGATGACTGACAGCGGCAAACACCTTCCCATCCCTAAAAGCCCTGGTGGACTCCAGGTGCCTGGCAGGAGCTGGGCTCCAATGCCCGCTCTCCTCACACATGCAGACTTCTTGCCACACTGCCCATGCCAGCTGCTGGACGCCTCCCTCACACCCAGAAGGGATCTCAGAAGACACACAGGTCTGAGAATGTCCCATGATTCCCTCCTGCACCCTCCCTCCCCCGGGACTCCCACTGCATGGGGCCACTGGCCATCTGGCCTCCGGTGATCAGAATTCAAAACCCAGCTGCAGGCACAGCGGCCACACCCCACCAAGGCTTGGGTCTCGATGGCTGCACAGACCGCTGGCTGGGAAGAGCCCACTGGGACCCAGCCAGCCACCAGCTGATTCTTGGCCGGGCCCTGGACAGTTGAGGCCAACTATTGTTAGGCCTGCTGGCTCCTTTGAACCAGGCGACGAGCCCAGGCCGCCCTATGTCCCCTGCACTGGCTCTTTGGATCCTGCAAGGGTCAGAGGGAGCAACCCAGGGCATCTGCTCAAGACACAGCTGCCAGTGCTGGACCCCGGGGAGTCTGCAGCTGGAGCCAGGGAAGGCGTGGAGTGCTGGTCCTGCTAACAGCTACTCCCCAGGCCCAGCTGGCTAACGAGGATTGTCCTCTGGCCCCCTCATGGCCTGACATGTGGCCCTTTTCTGGGGACCTCAAGGCTTGGCTGAGTCCTGGGGCCTCACTCTGCCATCAGGGCGACTCAGTGATAGGGATGTCGCTTGGGGAGAACAGAAGCTGTTTGAGTCCTGCGGGTGCAAATGGCTCTTGGTTTTGCTTGGACTGGGGCTTATGCTTTCCAGGGGAACCCAACTCTGGTGGAGCCCGTGGGATGCACGTCACCCTCTGATGCCCAGGCGATGAGCCATCAACAGGAGCTTGAGGAACGAGCCCACTGATGTGACTCCCCAGTGTCGTCCCAGAGCCAGGCTCAGGGAGAAGGGGAGGAACCCAGCCTGGTCCAGCCCCCAGTTCAGGGCAGGGGGAGGAGAAGCTCTTCCCTCCCTCCCCTCTACAAGGAAGGGGAGCTCTAGAAATGGGAGCAGGGCCACGACCCTGATGTCTCAGAACTAGGGCTCCATGGAGAGCTGGAGAGCTGCTGCGGGGGACCCATTCCGCAGCCCCAATCTGGGTGGGCAGATCCACTTAGGAGGGGAGAACACGGAAAACCAACCCTAACGCTCCATTCAGAAAACGTGGCTGTGTGGATGGGTCCCCACCTGCTTCCAACAGTTTAGATTCTCCCCAAGAACAAAAAGGGATGAAAAGCCCCACGCCCCGCCTGCCCTGCCATGGGCAAAGCACCACCATCGTCATCTAATTACACTCTTCCCAGCCAGCAAACGGCGTGACTCACTCCACTCGAGGGAGAGCTGCTGGGTTCAAAATAACCCTTAGGATTTCAAGCCCCAGTGGTATTTCTAGAGGGGCTGCCCACGCACCCCTCTGTGGCACATGGGGCGTGGGCACGAGTGTGTGGCGCAGGAACAAAGCCCTGGGCGTATTTGCACAACACTGCAGCGCTGACGGCTTCCTGTCTCAGAAGGAACATCAAGAAGAGCCCCCCAGGAATCACCAGGCCACCCAGGAACGCTGCTGCCCGCTCTGCTCCCCAACCCCGTCACGGCCTCTGGGTCCTTGCTCGGCCACCTGGCAGAGCACAGCCTCCTGTATCCCCAGCAGCAGAAGCTCTGGAATGACTATGTTTGTTTATGAACGAGGTCTGTCTTCCTCTCTCCCCCACGGCTTCAGAGAGGCGTGTGTGTCTCAGATGCAGGGTCGAAGTCGCATCTGGTGACACCCCCCTCATTGTTTGAAGCGTTTCTGAGAAGATGAAAATAGCTCTTCCTTTCCGGGCTGCCCCTTTGATTTCGCCTGCTCCCCAGGCAGACACCACTTCCTGTGTTTGGACAAACCCGAGACATGGCTATTTTGGCCTGGTAGTTTCCCAGCAGCCTCCTCAGCCCTTTATCTCCCCAGACCATTTCTGGCCCCCTCTGGCAGCACTCTTTGATGGCACCCGGCTGACCAGGGGCAGCAGCCGCAGCTCACTGAGCCGGGCCTGACTTTCTGAGTGCTGACAGCAGCTTTAGTGACAGGTGCAGGACCCAGTGCATCTCCTTTGTCTGGGGAGGAAACTGAGGCCCAGAGGAGGGTGGGACGTGCTGTTTCCCTGCACCTCGAGCAGACCAAGAGGGGCCTCTGCCCCTGGTGGACCCCGTCTCCACCCTGGGCCGTGGTCATGGGAGGCCTCTCCCCACCCGGGAGGTGTGGCCTTACTGCAGCTTCGACACGTCAAGCCCTTCTGCACCACGTGCCTCTCATACTCGTTCCCCAAAGCGAGCTAAGGCCCAGCCCCCAGAAGCCTTGAGGGTGCTGGGTCAAAGGAGCAGACAGCCCTGACCACCCATGGGAAGCAGGGCAGACACAGAGGCCTCCCCACCTGCGCAGAGGAGGCCACAGGAGCCATCTGCAATGCCCTAGGGTCCCCCACCAGCCCTGTGCCCTGGTCTCTCTGGCTCACAGATAGGCCACGCTGTCACCCCAGGTCCCTGGGGATAAGGGAGAAGATGGTCCAAACCCCATCACCAAATCTCCCACCAAAGCCAATCCCAGGGACCCTGGCCTCAGCATCCCCAGCCCTGCCGGGGTTCGGCTCTTGCTCGGTCTGAAGACAAGGGGCTTGGGTGGCCAGGTTCCCAGGACACAGAACAAAAGCCAGCGGCCCACGCACACATGCCAATCCTGCCAGTGCAGAGGTGACAGAGCCTGGCCCCAAGCTCACTCCGGCCACACTGCCATCAGGCTTTCTGCAGAAGGGTGTGGCCCTCAGCCCAGAGGCCTCATCACCAGGGGCTGTGTCCTCCACACTGGACAATAGCTCCGAGTCACTCGGCACACAGCCCACACCAACCAGGGGGGCACCGGACCTCGGGCTCCTCCAAGCCTAGCCCCAACTGTCCAGCCATCCCCAGTGCTGACCATCCATGTGTCCCCAGCCCTGACTGTCCAGGGCCCTGTGGCTCTCACGGCCTGCCCCAGCTGCAGCTCCAGCCTGGTCCCAAACCCTGCTCCAGGTGGCCCTGAGTGAGGACTTCAGACCCTTCTGGTGTCCTCAGCCTGGGGGACGGGCCCACGTGCCAAGGGGCTGGGGACTCCGGGCCGCCATCCCTGAGCCCAGGGAGCAGGACACCATGGAGGCTGTGAACGTTCAGGTCCCTGCCTGGGCTCCCGAGGCTGCCCCAGACCTCTCAGCTCCACACTTGGCTTCAGCAGCAGAGACCCGAGTCGGGGCCACAGGCCTCCCCAGTGGGGAGGACACAGTGCGCTCCAGGCTCTGACCCTATGCTCAGCCCCACGGGTGCCAGAGGAGCAGCCCTGTCCCACTCACCACGAGGTTGTCCTGGCCAGGTCCCTGCCGGCTGACCCTGCCCAGGGCCCCCCAGGGTGGAAGCACCCCCTACCTGGCCTTGTGGGTCCTGTTCCCCGCCAACGAGGGGAGGCTGGCGCTGGCATTGGGGAAGGGGGCCTCAGAGGAAGCATTGGTGACCCTGTCGCTGCTCAGCTCCAGGTACGACCCGTTGAGCAGGTAAGCAGCCACCCCCGCGCCTGCCTCGTAGTCCACGTAGAGGCTCTCAGTCGTAGGGCTCCTGGGGGCGCCCTGCGCGAAGATGCTGTTCCCCGTCTCATTGAGGGCGAACTCTTCGGAGTCAGAGCCTGCGCCCAGGAGCTGGTCAGAGATGGCGTTGGCGGAGAGGAGCTCCTGGGAGGTGAGATGAACATCCGCCTCTTGGTCATCCTTGTCCCTCATGCGCGCCATCCCAGTGGCATTGCGGTCTGCAGAGACAAGCAGCTGGACCTCAAGTCGCCTGCTGGGTGTGAATGCTGCCCACCTTGCTGCCTTTAGGACTCCAGAATGGAGAGGTCCTCCCTGGGCGAGGGGATGAGGGTGCTCCAGGGAGGTCCTTTCTGCTCAGCAGGACACAATTTGGAGCCAGGTGTGGTGGCACATGCCTGTCATCCCAGCACTCTGGGAGGCTGAGGCAGGAGGATCACAAGTTGGAACCCAGCTTGGGCAACTTAATAACTTAGCTGGACCCTGACTCAAAATAAAAAATAAAAAGGTCGGGGAGGCTGGGGATGTGGCTCAGTGTGAAGGACCTGGGTTCAATCCACAGTCCTGGGGGGCAACAAAAGACCCAGTTTAGCCAAGGTCTTGGAGTGAGAAGCACACAAGTGGGTTCTGACTCTGTAGAGACCAGTGGGCTCCAGCATGGGCTGGACAGGGCCCCCCAAAGCATGTGCCAGCTGGACCGCAGCACGCGACCTGATTTAGAAAGAGGGTCCCTGACCGTGGGGCTAGTGAAGGACCAGGAGATGAAGCCATCCTGGATTTGGGGTGGGCCCTACACGACCAGTGTCCTCCAAAGAGGAAAGGACAGAAAGACCCCGAGGGACCAAGGGGCTGCTGCAGGACAGGCAGGGCTGAGAGCCGTCACTCCCAGCCAGCAGGCACTGGGCACCCCCACCTCAGATGCACCCCCTGGCCCAGGGCCCCGTGTGAGCCCTGGGAGCCCAGCACTCTTGGCCCCAGCTCTTCCAGGGCCACACGGTGACTGTGCCAAGCCACTTCCACGCCAGCCTCCATGCCCCCCGGGAGAGCCGGACAGCTGTCTTGTTGCCTGTTGCCTCTGTGGTCCACAGTCCTGGATTCCACAGCCTGGGCTCAGAAATCCTCAGGAGAAACTGACTTGTACTGAACACACCCAGACCTTGGTGTGCCACGTTTGTCCCTAACAATCTGACTGCTGGCCTGGCCTATGCACTGTCAGGGGTCATCCGTCACCTGAGACAACCATGCCAGAGGTCTGGGCCAATGCCACAGCACTGAAACAGGGCACTTGGGCCTCTGGGAATCTGGGTGTCAGACAGGGCCATGGACCCGGTCTCCTGCGGACACTGAGGTTCCACTGCCTACCTCACAGAACTTGCATCGGGCCTGCCCGGAGTGTGTGAGTAACCCCGCCTTGCCTAACCTCCTCAGTCTGGGAAGGGGCTGAGGTCCTGGAAGCCCCGGCCTCCCTGCCACCCAAGGGGGCTCCTGGTTACCTCGGAATCCCTTGGCCCTGGAGGGCCCCTGGCAGACCCCGCTGCCGGCAGGTTCGCACACCTCGTTGGTCTCTGGGCCCCGAAGGAGGCCCAGCTCCATGTCAGGGTCCTGGGGGCCAAACAGGCGGTTGTCCAGGCCCAGCTGCTCCGAGGAGGCTGGGCTGTGGAGTGAGGCATTGCGCTGCAGGAAGCCCAGGAGCTCCTGGCTCTCGGCACTGGTGGAGGCCGAGGGGGGCTCGGAGAAGCTGTAGTAGAGGGACGGGCGGTGATGTGTAGGCGGAGACTGCAGCAGGGTGTACTCGAAGGTGATGGAGGGGCTCTTGCCATTCTGGTTCCACACCTGGGGAGGAGCAGCTGTGAGATCCCGGCCTCCCTCCAGCCCTGCCTGTGTCACAGAGAGCCAAGGGCACGGCCCCCCTCAAGGCCATGGGGCTCCGCACATGGACACCCCAGGGGAGGACCTGGTACAGGCAATAAAGAGCCACAGAGAACTTTCTAGAGTGGAAGCAGCTGAAACCCATCTGCACATTAGCAGCATGTGCACCAGAAACTTTATGCAGGGATATGGGGCCCTGCCCTCTCCCCAGAGACCCAGGCCCTGCCTCAATTAGGACAACCCTGAGGGGGAACAGCCTAGACACAGAGCTCCCATGGAGGCACCCAGGCCTGTGGGGAGCGCAGGGCCCCTGACCTCTCCCCACTCCCCAGTCTCCACCCTGAAGCAGGGGCCGCCCGGAAGCTGGTTCTGAAACAGATTTTGGAGCAGGGTCAACCCACACCTCCCCGGGGCCACAAGGGTCTGCTGGGCAGTGGGAGGAGCTCTGAGGCCCCCAGAAGGCAGCGTGAGCCAGAAGGGCAGGCACGGGCGGTACTTCAAGGCTTTGGGGTTGTTGGGGACAGAGTGGGGCCGAGAAAGCACAAGGGACCTGGAACCGAAGGCGCTGGAGATGGAGGCAGAGGGTGACTCCACAGAGTGGGGACCGTAGAGCAAGGACAGGGTGGGGACACAGGGCGGCTCAGTGCTACAGCTTCAGGGCAGAAGGGGCAGAGGAGCACCAAGGACAAGGTCGGAACGCAGAGTGGGGCCCTGGGATGTGGACCCAGAGACCTGAGTTGGGAGGCTCAGAATATATGAAATTTGATGCCCTGCACCTTCTGGGCCCCGAGAGGGCCGGGCCTCCCTGGAAAGCTGGCAGAGACCTCTCTTCCCACCTCCACATGCCCCTGGGCTGAGCCCAGCTCCAGGACTACTGACCACCAGAACAACAGCTCGGCCCAGATCCCATCCTCAGCCGATCCAGGAAGCCCTGAGGAGGAAGCGTGCACCCTGGACTCGTGGGCAGCTGAGGGCGCGGCTGGGGGCTCCCAGGCTGACGGAGCCAGCGGTGCCGACACTAAGAGAGGGACAAGCACCCTGCCTTCCATGGACAAGCCACCAGGGGACTCTGCTCTTCGAGAAGGCTGGAGGACATTCTACTCCCTGATGAGAAAAGAAATGCCGCTGTGAAATGACACCAGCATCACTCAGGGACAGCGCTGGGTGGCCTCACGGGCCAGGCTAGTGGCAGCAGAGGTTGCTTCAGACCAGAGCTTCCAGCGGCCCGGGTGGTGCCAGGGAACAGAGATAATGAAGCAAGGCAGACGCAGGTGTCACCAAGAACAGTAGCAAACGTGGCCGCCTGGGGCCTGGTCCATGGCCAACAGGATGATGGACAAAGCACCACTCGAGGGTGGATGGGCCGGAAAAGGTGCTGCTCAACCGTGTGAGCAGAGGAGATCAAGGTGGAGGACCAGGAGCCGGGACAGTGGCCCCATGCGATGCCACCATACTTCCTTGTGTCCTGAGCCAGGTTTCAGACCCAGGATCCACAGTTTATGCAGCTAGGAATCTGCAGTCCTCTCCAGGGGGTGGCAGCTGTGCCCTGGAGAAATAGGTGGGCATCCTGAAACCAGGATCCAAGTCTTCACTGATAACCAGGACCCCCAGGCACCGTGACCAGGTCCCAGTGGGCTCAAAGTCCATCTCCTGGCCCACAGGCTCCCTGTCCCCAGCAGCACAGCTGGCATTGGCAGATCCCTCACGCCAGTCCTGGACCTGTGAGGTGGAGCTGTCACTGAGGCTACGCGACCCTCTGTTCTGGCCCCAAATCCAAGACAACATCACATCCTGGGTGGCAGACATTAGTGCCACAAGTCGTGTCCTGGAGGCTCAGGGTGGGGGTCCTCAACTCCAGTGGATCTGCCACCTAGGCGTGGTTGTGTGCTGTGTGGCCTGACCAGGTCACAGCCCTGCCGCTCTGGGCCAGGTTGGTCCCCTCTCTAGGTTCCACTCACACATCCATGGGCTGGGCCACTAAGATGGAGGTGGATTTTCATCCCCAACTGGGGAGGCCCAGAGCAGCATCCCTCCACGTGGGGTAGACAGAACACAGGTGCACAGCAGCGAGCCAGGGCTACACGAACGTCCAGCTCCCAGTCATACCAGGTTACAGGGACTGTCACCCTCCACACAACACTGCACCCAGTGCCCTGCATCGATGACACTGTGTCTGCCAGGTCAAGAGGAGGCACCGGAGGCCTCCATGTCCTCCACATGGCCAGAGACTCAACCCTAAAAATACTGTGTCCCCATCCCCGTTGGTGAAAATCTGAGTTCAGTTTGCCGGGATGCTCCCCGAAAGCAGGGGAGGTTCCTGAAGCTCATACCCGCCACCGCGAGTGAGGATGCCACATACAGGAACGCTGGCCCTCCACATGCTGGTGATGAACACGCTGCCAGCTCTGGGTGGAAGTCTGAGCAAGGTGGGCCCTGCACGGTCCTGGCATGGTATACTTGGCTGGCTCCGTGGCCAGGAGAACTGGGGTTTCTGGCAGGCCATCAGCAGCAAATAAATGCACATCATCTGAGAAAGCCTCCAGCCTGCCACCGGAAGTGGAATCCTCTGACCACGCTTGCTCAGAACACCAAGAAGTCCACAGCCAGGACTGGGCAGTCAGGGCAGAGGCCTGAGAAAGCCGCACCAGCAGCTGTCAGAAAGCTGCTGACCCCAGGCTGCTGCACCAGCTCATTTCTGAGCTCATGGCCCGGACTGCACAGAGGGACGCCGGTGACCAGGTGAGGGTGGAGACACAGCCAAACCGGATACCAAGGCGGGTCAGCTTGGTAGGAGGGCACAAGCCAAAGGGGGATCTACCTCGAGACGGCGCCCCTCAGACAAGGAGGGAAGGAAACGCTCCCAGCGCAATCTCCCTCTGTGCAGGCAGCAGCTTAACCCAAAATAAGATGTTGGCTTCGGGGGCCAGGCAAAGGGCAGGGCTGTGGGTCAGGAGCCCAGAGGGCACAAACAGAAAGAAGACTGGGGCCAAGAGCCACCAAACAGCCATATGACGATGGGAGGGCTCTGCCTGCCAACACAGGCCAGGCTCTGCTGCAGTCACCTGCTGATGGCCCTGCACAGGGGCCCGATGGTGTGGCCACCACCACTCAGACTGCTCAGCCCCTTCCACGCACGACTGGGACCTCAGCGGCTGGATCAGCACCGGCCCCACCCAACACCGTCCCACAGAGGGCAGGCCGCTCTACAGCAAAGGAAGAGCCCCAAGGACGTGGGCCCAGCCCATCCTCAGTGTGCTGCTTCAAGAGGACCAGCAGCAGTCCACAGCTGAGCACCTGCATCCCGGGTATTTCCCTAGGGGGCAGGGTGCTCTGTACCAGGTGAGCCCCTCCTGGGCCCCCCAACCCACACCCAGCCTGAGTTAGCGTGGATAGCAGAAAGGCTAAGGTCCACGCTGCCCTCTGCCCAAGCCCCCTGTCTCTGTCCTGGGGCTGCCCCAGAGACCCCCACCCCCAAGCCCTCTGGCGCCACACTTCCATACCAGTGCCTGGCCTGTGGCTTCCTCCTACCAGGGGCCAGCCTGCCTCAGAGGCAGGTGCAGGAGAAATCAAATGCACTCAGACACAAAGATGCCTCCACCCCCATGAAAGCCAGCCCCAGACCTGCCCCTCTCAGGGGCAGCTGACTCCTGGACAAGCCCTGCCTGTGTGCCAGGGCTGGGCACCAGGCTGCAGCAGCATGGTTTCCAGTTGCCAATCATGGCAACACCCATGGCAGGCTGTGCAGAACACACCCAAACTCTCCTGCTCCCCACTGCCGAGCCTGAGCATCCCAGGGACCCTGAGCATCCCAGGGAGGCAGGGTCAGGGGACACAAGCTCTGCAGTTATCCCCACAGTGTTAACAGAGCAGGCTGGAGCTAGGGGGCATCAACCCCACCGTGGACTGAGAAGAGAGGCAAGCCTCCTTCTGGGCTCCCATGGGTCCCTGATGAGCAGAGGATGGGTCAGCACAGAGGCCCTAGCAGCACCAGTCCACAGGGAGCTACAGCAGTGCTGAAAGACGAGCAACTGAGTGGATGAAGAAAGTGATGAATGAATGGGTGAAGAAATGTGTGAGTGGATGGACAAAGGATTAAACAAGCAATTAAATGACCCCACAAACAAATAGTGAGTGAACAAATGCATAAACAAATGAATAAACAGAATGAATGATTCTATGAACAAATGAGTAAAGGATGATCAATGAATTAACAAATGAATGAATGAGCAAACAAATGAATGAATGAAGGTCGAGGATTTAGCTCAGTGGTTTTGCCACCTGCTGTGCAAGTCCAAGGACCCGGGTTCAATCTCTGGTACCAAAAAGAAAAAGAAAAAGAAAGAAAGAAAAATGAGTAAATGAAAAATGAATGAATGAATGACTAGATGAACAAATGGGTGAATGATTGAATGACTAAGCAAATAACCAAATGACCAAATAAATGAATAAATGAACCAAAGAGTAGATGAATAAATGAAGGAAGGAAGAAACATGCAATGAATGAGTGAGCGTGTGATGATGCAAGGAAAAGGCGAATGAATTAATGCACTCGAGGGAGAGAGAGAGGATGAATTAAGATCCAAGCGGACACCAGATGAGGGACTGAGTCAAGACAGACAAGTGCACAGTCTCTAAGAGACTGAACTAGCGGCACCCAGAGCAGCCAGGTGCTACGCAGCCCTGGGCATTCGTGGCAGGGCTGCCCAGGTCTCTGCCAATGCATCCTGGCCCGTGGCTGCGTCCTGGGAAGCAGCACCCACGGCCCCGTGTTCCCGCGCCTGCGCACGCACCATGACATTCAGGCCCTGGTTGGTGGGCCCCTGAGCCACGATGTACTCAATGCCTGTCTCGTAGATGTCCATGGGCCGCCGGTACTTGACCACGGTGCCAGCAATGTTGAAGTTCTTGGGGCTGTCCACCTTGTAGTTGCCGTTGAAGAAGTAGAAGCCGGCTTCATCTGCCAAAGCTGGGAAGGCAACACTGCAAGTCACACAGGCCAGGTGGGAGGGCAGGAGGGGAGAGGGAGCCAGAGCTTCTCGCTTGGGGAGCTGTGGCCAGCCCTGCCCTGCACCACAGGACAGAGTCCTCAGAGTCACTGCGAAGGAGACAGATCCTCTGCCCTGGCCACTGAAAGCCGAGGAGACAAACCCCTGCCCATTAGCCCACAGCAACCTGGCACACCTGTGTGGACCTGCTCCACTGCTCTGAGGCTGAGGGGCTGCAGGAGACAAGCTGTTGCCACAGGTCAGTGGCCGGGTGGACATAGAGTCAACAGCCTATAGAAGGCCTTCCTCTGCCACAGGCACGGGCAGGCCCAGGGCCGGCACAAGCCTGGACAGTGAGGCAGAGCCTCCGTGCCTCGCCAAGTGGCACTGCAGCCCTGGCCTGGTTGGCATGGGGAGCTGTCCCCCAGGCCACTCCTGGGACCCCCCAGTTGACCAACTCCGCCCTCCCAATGAGAGCAATGCTCTCTGCTGTCCTGGCTGTGCTGTCACCCTGTCCTCCCAGGGGCTGAGGGCTGGCAGGGTTAAACTGGGCAGAAGGGGCCTGGGCACCTCTGCCCCTCTCCCAGAGGCGGCAGGGAGAGAGGCACACTCCCAGGGCCCAGCTGGAGCCAGCTGGGAGCTCAGGGCCCAGGAATATGTGTGGACCCCCGCCAGCCTGTCCCCTTGCCCAGTCTGGAACAGCCCCCTGGAGCTGGTCCTCCAGGGAAGAGGTGCCTGGAGCCTCCAGGGCGGGAAGGGATGGAGGGGCGGACTCGGCACTCGGGGACACTCTGTCTTCCAAAGGGTGTCCTTAAAGCCGATTCCAGGAACTGGCCGCCGAAAGACAGTCCAGCTTCCAAAGCCCCTGATGCAATACAGCGGAGCGGAGCAATTAATTTATTATCAGACAGACCCAACACAGGACGCGTCTGCCTGGCAAGTGCCCTGGACACAGCGACGTCAGAAAGTAGAACAAAGGAGGCGGCACGCTGCTGGGGCCCGCTTGTCTTGGCCGGCGTCAGGCACGAGCCAGGGCTCGGCGGGGCTCACATCCAAGACCCGTTTCCTGACGGTGAGGACCTTCCCGCCTGCGGCTTTCCCAGCACTCCAAGGCAGCCCTTGGCATTCCACAGGTCTGTCTCGAAAAGAGGGCTCTTCAGCCAGCGAGGGGAACGCAGCGCTTCCTGGCCTCTCCGCTCCCAGAGAGCAAGCCACAGACCCATGGGCCTGGCAAGAAGCCCAGCGCCCCGTGCCTCGGCCAGGCCATCCCTGGGGTGGTGGCACCTGGGACACAGAGCTGGGGCCGGGCCATGCAGACCCTGGGGCTGCACAGAGAGCCAAGAGACAGAGGCCGGTCCCCTCCCACATCCCTGCAAGTACGGGTCTCACCTGGAAGCCCTGGAGCTCACACAGTTGCCCCCCAATAAGACACAGGTTCTCATCCTGGCCCACATAAGGCCAGCCGAGCACCAAGAAGCTCATGGGGGCAGCACCTGCCCGCCGGGTGTCAGGGCTGCAGCACCTCCTGGGGCCAGGGCCAGCCCCCAGCCACACAGGTCACCCTCCCCGAGATCGCCCCCAGACCGGGTGCCGCTGCTTCCCTGCAGTGCAGATAAACCTGGAGTCTGTGAGGTGGCAGCCTCCCCTCCCAAGCCCGGCTTCCACTGGAGAATGCAGGGAAGAAGCACGCAGCGCCGGCCTGGGCTTGAGCCTGCCCTCTGCTCCTTCCTGCTCGAGGCTTCCTCTCCCTCGGCCTGACCTGTCACCTCCTACACACTCCACGCCACTGCAGGGGCCCCATCTCTAGCACCCAGCTTCTCAGGGAACCCACTGCCCAGTCTTGCCCAGGGAGCTCCACCTAGGGTCACGTTGCCTCCCACCACCGCACCGCCTGGCCCTGGCCCTTCAGGAGCCCCTCCGCCTGCTGATGCTGCCCCAGCCCCAGCTGCGCACCTAGCACATCAGCCGACTTCTTCCTCTCCACGATCTGGATGTCCCGGGCACCGGCCGGGATGTGAGTCACCAGGGAGTAACCTGCGGGCACACAGATAGTGGTGAGCGGGCCTGGCCCACAGAGCCCTCGTGGGGCGGCCTGGACAGCGAGAGTCACGCGTGGGCGGCAGGTGCCACCCTGAGCTAGGTGGGAGGCGGCTAAGGGTGCACGGGGCTCCCGCCCTCCCAAACACCCTGCGCTGTCCCAACGCTGACCCTTCCTTGGGCACCTGACCTGCACCCACCAAGGCGATCAGAACGGCCTGACCTTGCTGGTGCCCACCCCAGCCCTTCCCAGTGAGTACTTCAGAACACAGGGACCTCACACCCTGGCATCGCCGACCTTGGTCCTGCCCCCCACTGTCACCAAGGGGTGATAGTTTCCCCTGCACAGGCACAACGCCATCACTCTGCATTGTCACCTTGTCACTTCTAAATCCATCTCATCACAACATCCCGTCAACAAAGCTGGGGAGACCTGCAGGTGGAGCCCAGCCACCCCGCGGGGAGCCGGGCTGGCCGGCTGGACCCTGCCCCAGGACGGCCAAGACGGGAGACAGCCATGGACGGGTCCTTGGAGCACAACGGGGACTGAGGGGCTGGGGCAGGGGCGTGCCCCCTGCAGGGCTAAGGGATGGCCAGAAGGGACCCCTAGGACAGAGGAGCCAGCGAGAAATGAGGGGCTCTTTACCAGGTGGGTGCCTGCCCTGGGTTTCTGGCAGGAGGCGATGGAGCCTGCCTGACTCAGGCCCTGGGTAAGCTGAGCTCAAGGACCCTCCTCCCGGACTCCACCCTCATCCCCCAGGTCCCCAGGGTCCTGGCCCGATCCTCATGCCAGCAGCACAGGGAAATGGTCCCCAACGGGGTGTGGGAAGGTGGGGGCAGCTGGGTTGGCCCCATCGGCTGTTTCTGTGGTGTCAACTCTGTCACTGTGGCCAGTGGCGAATGAGCAGGTGCTGTCCCTGTGCAGAGCCGAGCAGAGCTGCAGTAGCCTACTGTATATGGTGTTTCCACCACAAACTCCAGCAATATCCAGGATGAGGACGAGGATCTGAGCACTCCGTGTCAGGTGCAATTTATTTAAATTCAGACTTGCATGCTTCGGTGTTGGAATCACCGAGGAGCTCACACAATTCCCGGGCATGTAACACTCGGGTCTGCTGGACGCTACAGCTCATCTGGCCCTCACTGTGACGCAAGCACCCGAGAGTCAGGAAACACGCATGAGGCTCGGGGGCCAGGACACAGACCCTGTGCATGGGCTGGCGGGCTCAGATGCAGCCCCACCAGTGGCTGTGAGACCTTAGGTGACCCTGCTACTCTCCGTCTGTCCCTTGGCCCTGGGCAGCAGCCTTATTACCTGCCTTGTCGCGATTCTGCCAGCCCTGGCTTGGCTCCTGGCACCGAGGCGCCTGCAGGATCTGCTGGGGTGGGTTCCAGGCCAGCCCCCGGCCCCTAGTGGGGAGCTTGGCCAGGACATGGGCCTGATCAGGGCCTTGCTGTCACCCACAGAGCCTGGCACTTCCAAGGTGAGAGGGGAGACATAAGCTGCCGGGATGCTAGTCCCCATCTCTGTGCTCCCGGCCAGCAGAGGCTGTGAGAGCAGATGAGTGGCAGGAGGTGCAGGGTCAGGTAGCTCCGGCTTTGCTGTACCTGCTCCCGTGCCCAGGCTGCAGGGAGCCACCCAACATGCACAATTCACATGTGTCTGACTGCACTGCCTGCCCCATCCCCTCCCTGCCCTCGGCCCAGCACGCCCTGCCCTGATCTCACATCCAAGCCCCAGCCTCCTAGTCCCTCACAAGCTCCGTGCTGTCCCTATGTAGGCAGCCCCTCCTCCACCTCCTGGGCTGACCAGCAGCCCCAACAGGATTGGCTCTAGTCCAGACTTGCCTGGACTCAGTTTCCCCATCTGCTAAGTGGGTTTCAAGCTGCCCTGCCCCCTGCATCTGGCGGTTGTGAAGACCACTTCCACTTCAACCCAGAAATGCATCCAGTCGAACACCAAGCATTCAAAGTGACATCCTTTGGAAACTATGAAGGCCTGTCATACTCCCTGACCCCCCAGAGGGCCAGGCCGGCACTGGACACAAACACCAGGCCAAAGAGTGGCTTTGAGGAGGGACAGTGCTGCTGGGGACAGAGGGCTGGGGGGCCAGGCCCCAGGGGAGGAGACTCTGAGACTCGGGCCCAGCATCTGCAGTGCCTACAGCCAGGTCTGGAGGCTCCAAAACCTGCACTCATGACTCAGTTTCCCCCTTTTTCAGCATGGCGGTCACACCTCCATGCAGCTACTCAGAGGTCAAATGTGATCCTCACACCTAGTGGCCTCTGGTAGGCAGTGGACATTCAGCAAAGAGCCACTGGGTGTTGATGGTCAGAGGGCCCATCCAGCTCCCAGACTCAGGACCAGGGGCAGCCTTACCAAGAGGTGCGTTGCCCTTGCGGTAGTTTCCAGTCACGTGGGTGCAGCTGCTCCCGTCGCCCTGGCAGACACCGCACTTGTCCAGTGTGTGGGTGGAGAACAGCACCCCGTCACAGCCGATGGGCTGCAAGAAGCAGGAAAATGCTGCTGGGGGGCACGGGCCTCGGCCATCACCACCCGGGCGGCCGGCACGGCCAGAGCCGTGAGACCAGCTGAACTTCCACTGCAACGTTTAACAACCTCACATTTTCCAGACACGCAAACCCCTCGCAGGTCAGTGAGCTTGCAGGACGTGCCGTCGCGGGCGGACACCATGAGCTGCCGCTGGCCGTCCACCGTGGTGCAGTGCAGGTCACAGGGCTTGCTGGAGATGTGCACGTAGTCATCTGGGGATGGACGGGGCTCAGCGTAGGGAGCAGGCGCTGCCCCTCCCCTCCTGCGAGACAGGAGCCTCCCCTCTGCATGAATGGGAAGTGGGCCAGGAGTGGAGAAGGGGCCTTGGGGTCTCGGTGGCAGGTCTCAGGCCTCAGGCCACAGCAGAGCCATGAGCCAAGTGCGTGACCTGGAGCCCCGGTACACTGCAGCCCCAGGAAGCAGGAGAGGCCGACTCATCTACACTGTTGTCTGAACAACTTGCTTCCTCTTTCCAAGAGAGGAGACAGGCAGAGAGCAGCCGTCACCCCACCCTGGCCCCCCTGGGACCATGGCCAATGTAGGATTGTCTGGGCTGGTTCCTGTCCAAGCCCCCAGCCAGTAAGTAGGAGAGTCCTGACCTTCAGGCCAGGCCAGCAGGAAGCTCAGCCCCATGACATGCCCGGGGTGACCCCAGGTCCCCTTCAGGAGATGTGGGGCCCACTCCCGGCTCCAGAGCTGGCTCTAGAGACCCCTGCTCCCAGACTCAGTTTCCCCACCTGCCCATGGGTCAGGATCAGCCCTGGGGGCTGTGAGGGCCACCCCACCCTCCACCTCCTCAAGGCAGGTTCCCAGGGCTGCAGGTACCGGGGTACAGGGGCTTCCACTGGTAGGTCCGCCCGTCAAAGACCCGGGAGTTGAAGGAGACGCACTGCTCCTCTCGGAAGCTCCGCCCGTCTGGCGGGCACTCCTGGAAGAGGGGGCGGGCTCTAGCACGGGGTGGCCTCCCGCTCCCTGGCTCCATCTCCCTGTCTGCCATTCTCAGGAAGGGCAGTGCCCACCCTCCAACATGGCAGATGCCCCCCCATGTTCTGCCCGCCACTCTGTCCCCTGCCCCAGCTTTCCTCCCAGCCTCGAGGCAGAGGTGTCAGGATGCCCAGGCACTGCCCACCAGGGCCCTCTTGCCCTCTGTCCTCAGCAGACCCTGCGGTGTGCAGTGTGCATGGGACTGGTGCTGTGGAAAGCCACAGGCAGAGACTAACTCCAGAGAGGAGCCAGGGAGAGGGAGGGTCGCCTCAGTGGCCCAGCGTAGTCAGGCAGGGTGTCTGCCCTGGGAGCTTACAAGTGTCCACTGAACCCAGTAGCACTGTCCCGAGAGGGCAGCTGACCAGGGGACCTCAGCGCAGAAGCCGTGGTCACCCGCACTCCTATGCACACCAGCGTGAATTGACCCCAGCGGCAACGCCTTCTGGCCTGTGCGGACCAATACCCCTGCCCCATACCCCGTGTTCTGGGGCAGACGTTGGGGTTCAGACCGACAGGCCCCATTGAGAGGCACCCTGGGGCTGGGCCAGCCTCAGAACCTCCTCCCAGCCTCAGCTTCTGCCACCTCCACGCTGACACAAGGCTAACGAAGCCTCGGAGAACTGGGACCCCAGGGATTGGCGGTGAGCATACAGGGGTGGAGCTGCCAAGGCCCCAAGAAGTGAGGACAGGGAGGTCAGCACAGTGTGCGAGGGTCCAGGGGGACCCGACACCTCAGTCTGAGCCCGCCCCAGCCCTGCCCCGACTCCTTGAAGGGTGCTGGGCTGCATGTCCGGGCCAGGGCCTCAGGAGGGGACCCATGTCAGGAGGGGAAGTGGCGTCCCAGGCCTTGGCCTCACCTTCAGGCTGCAGAGCTGGTAGCTCTTGGATGTGCCGCTGCAGGTCCTGTTGCCGGCGCCTGGGACCGACTTCCTCCTGGCAGGGAGACAAGTGCTGAGCGAGGGTCACAGCCCTGCGGCCAAGGCTTCCGGAATCTCCCTGCCCAGCCCCAGGAAGGATGCAGCCCCAGGTCTCAGAGCCCAGAGCCCATGTTAGCAACACCACGTGTAGGCGCAGGCCCGTGGTGCCTGCTAATGCACAAGGCCTCGTGGATGCTGAGAGACGTAGCTGGGGTCCCCTACTCTCCCCGCACTACCCGTGAGGAAGGGGATCTGCAGAAGGGTGAGCAGCTTCTCCAGGAAGCAGCAGAGGCAAGACTGAAGGCCAGGCCCATGGGACAGTGGAGTTGCAGCTCCACGCACGCCATGCTCCTCCCCATGTGCCCCTAGCTCGGGGCTGCTGAACAGAAGGCCGAGGGTCTGGCCCCTCAAAGACAGAGCCCTGGGAGCAGGTCCTGCTTCCCCACAGGAGGGCTCCTGGTACCTGGGGTGTGGCAAATCCAGGATGGATGGTACTGGGGGGCTGTCCAGAGTGCTGTCCCCAGCCAGGGCCACTAGGGAGATGGAGCCCTGCTGCTTCCTGCCCGAGAGCCACCAGGACCTGGGCCTGGGTGCCCACCCCACCCTGCCCTGTGCCAGCCTCCGCCCATGCAGTGCCCCACCTCTGCTGCAGGCAGTGTCGCTCCTGGGACATCACCCCGCCGCCACAGCTGCGGGAGCACGCGGTCCACTTGGTCCACTCCCCCCACCAGTAGGCCGTGGCATCAGCACCACCCTCCAGGCTGTTGGACGTGGGGCTGTTGTCCTGGTGAGAGACCCATGGGCGGTTAACAGAAGGCTCAAGTGCCCAGCAGGACAGGACTACCCTGCTCCCGCGGGTACCACTGGCAGTTAAACTGGAGGACACTGCTAAGGCTCAGGTCCCCCAGCCCCAGGCCCGTGGGTCCCCTGGTCTTAAGGCTTGAACACAGGGGGCGCTTGGCAAGCTCCAGAGGCCTCATCGAACTGGCCCACTCCCTCCCATGCAGCCTGGGGGACACAGATCAGCTTTGCTGGACGGGGGAGCATTCGGCCACCTCCAGCCACCATCATGGCTAGGGCCTCAGAATGCCAGAGCCCCAGCTCGGGGCCGATCTGACCGGCCCTGTGACCCTGGAGTTGTGCCCCATGCCCACCTCACAACGCATCCAATGTCAGTCTGTCTTGGAGGACTACACCTGCCCAAGTGGCTGAGTCGGGGCCCTATTTGATGACACCCCACTCACCGAGAGCTCCGTGTTTGCTGCACCCCCAGCCACCACCGCCATGGCCAGTAAGGACCAGGCCCATTGTGAACACTGCCATCCTCCATCCATCCTAGGAATCAAGGCCACTGTCACCACCAGGCCAGAGCCAGCTTTGGGGAGGTCCCCAAGGTTCACCCAGGGTGCCAGGTGGCAAGGATATCTGCAATCGGCTGATTATGGCTGCTCATCCTTGAGTTCAGCAAGAAGGTGCTCTAGAAGCGATTAGAGAGGCCTGTCCAGGCCTGGGCATGGACAGGTGGCATGCATGCCAAGTCTGGGCCACCCTTGATCTGAAGGCACACAGAGAGGCTTCATGCTTTGCTTCTGAGGCCCAAGCCTCAGAGACACCAGGGAGAGCTGAGGGGCAGGAGGCCCAGGCGGGGGTCGGGGGGAGTCTGTGGAAAAGGACAAGGGCACTAAGGACCAGGTCGGCCCCGCACCTGCCAATCTTTGCCAGCCCTCTCACCCAGTGGCCCCCAGAGAACCTCAGGGGAGCATCCTCTACGAGACCCCAGCTCTGTATGAGGAGGTCTCACACCAGGAAGATGGAATTGGGGAGGAGGAGTGGGCAGCGGCTGGCTCCTGACAGCAGCCAGGGCCATCTGGCTGACCCCTCCCGACACTGTCAGGGTCACGCCAGGGTCAAATCCCAGGGACCCAATCAGCCGCCAGGCACGTGACCCCACCCCCTGACTGCAGCTCTGCCCGTGCCCTAGCAGGGAGGGAGAGGGGAACTGGGGTCTAGTGAACCTCACTTGTGCGGCAGTTAGAGGGGAGTTTCCAAATCCACCTAGCCCAGAGTTGGAGGCCGACAGCCCCCAGACCCACAGGGGCTCCTCCCACACCCAGACCTTCTTAGGGGCCGTGGGGAGGTGGCCCCGCCTGCATCCCTGAGGCCATCCCTGCCTCCCCGCACCTTGGGACGCCTTCCCCAGGCCAGGCAGGGCAGGTGCTCAGGGTTGGCCAGCTGCACCCTTGCCCCACAAGGCTGCACACATCTTGCCCTTGGGGGTCCCATCCGGCCAGCTGCTGTGCTCCTAGGCTCCTCCTGCAACCCGGCCTCCCGGCTGCAGAGCCCCCGCTGGCCGTGTGCCCCCTGGCACCAGGCCCTGCCCACAGCTGAAGACAGGTGCCGGGAGCGCCGTGCACACACTTGGTTCTCATTAGGCTCGCAGACACTGCTGGCCTCCCGCCAGCCCCGCTTCCAGCTTGTGTGGATCCATCTCTTCCCGGGTCCCAAACCAGCAGAAGCCGCAGGAGGGGCTTGTAGAGCAGGCGGCTCGGGGCACAGGCTGCAGTGGAGGGGCGGCCCTGTGCCTGCCTCTGAGGGTCAGGTCCCTGGTCCTCCTCGGGAATAAGGACACCCTGGGCCCCAGGGGGTTGCTCAGCCCCTCCTCTGGGCAGCTGGACGAGCTGAACTCAGGTTCCAAGGAGGCGGTGACGTGACAGGAACAGGGACTCAGTGGCCTACCTGGCCGGGCCTCAGCAGGTTGTCCTCCCAGAGCAGGGGCCAGCACCAGGTGTGCAGCCAGCGAGAGCGAGCGGAGGCCAGGGACGTGCAGCTCTGCCTCTCTCCTCCCGCCTGCAGCCTGGCCGCCTCCCTCTCCCACTTCAAAGAGCATCTGAGGGAGGGGATCCTGGAGGGGAGGGGCGCAGCCCAGTGGCGGCTCCGGCTTCGGCTTCGTGGCCGCAGCCGCCTTTATAGCTGTCAGGCAGACGGGGAGGGACTCACTCTTCCCACCGGGCCGCTGCCCCGCCCGCCGCCGGCCGGACTGGCGCACACTTTAACCCGCTCTGCGCCTCTGGAGCCCAGCCAGGCCAGCCCAGCTGCCTGCTGGCTGCTGCTGCACGGCCCGGGAGCTGAAAGCAGGAGGCCGGGCAGGAAGGCCACGGCCCAGGTCCCACGTGGGAACCGCATTGGGGTGTCCAGATGGAGCAGCCAAATGTGAGGTCACAGAGGAGGCTGGTGGCTGTGGCAGGTCTCCAACCCACCCCTCCCTGCAGAATCCCCAGCCCCTGCCACCCTTGTGTGTGGGCTGGGAGGCAGGAGGTATCCCCATCCATAGAGGCAGAGACAGGTCCCAGGGCCCCCAGGCAACCAGCCAGCTTCTTCAGGGCCCTCCTAACCCCAGAGGTCTAAGCAGGTGAGGGACCCAGGGAGGCCTGGCCAGGGGCTCCGGAAGGGCACAGATGTGTGCAGCCTGCTGACCAGACGGCCGGAATGGCCAGGGCCTGCAGATGTTCAGCACCAGCTTGGCAGGGCACAGCGGCCTGGCTGGGCACAGTGCCCACTGGGCAGCCCCCAGCAGGCGCTGTCTTCCTGCTGAGCCAGAGCACAGAGGTGCAGGGGCCGGCAGCTGGCCAGGGGAGCCTGGCAGGCTCTACATGGCCGGGACCTGCCCCCCAGAGCTCCCCACTCCAGAAAACAGAGGTGTGGCCAGGCAGCAGAAGCCAGGGCAACACTCTGTAAGGTCTGAACTGGTTCATCCACACCGGGCTCCGTGCACAGACGGCCAGGCCTGCGACGGTGCTTGAGAGACCCCTTCCCTCCCTCCTCCTCCTTCAGTGCTTCCTTGAGCAGCTGAGTTGCACCCTGGGGAAGCTCTGTCCCGTGGGTGACCACCAGCCGGAAAGGTCAGGAAAGAGCAGCCAGTAATAGCAGTGAAGAACAGGAGCGCTACTCGCCAGCTGGGCTGCTCCTGGGCACAGGGAGTGCGGGTCAGCACCTCTGTCGTTCACAGAGGAACCTGCAGTCCGGGACACAGTGCACTTTCTAGCACCCCACACACATCTGCCAGGTGCACTGCCAGCCCCAGCCCTGGCAGCGGCTCTCAGGGCGGCAACCCCAGTCCCTGCAACCTTCCCCCTAACCAGCCCCACACTGCCCCCTGGGGCGGCATGTGGAAGCACAGCCACACGAGGGCCTGTCAAACTGAGCTCTCACACGCCCCGCACGCTGCACGCCCACCAGTCCCTCCCCAGTAGCCAAGACTGCATTACACTTGCTCTGGGAGCCTCTGCCTCCCTGCTTTCCTCCCCTCCCCTGGCCGCCAGGCCCCGCACACCCTGGCACAGTCCCTGTGCCTCCTGGCGCTCCTGGCTCCCACCTGCAGCTAGCACCAGGGTGATTAACGGTTTCCCTTGGGAGAGACCCCACTGCCAACCCACACACCCACCCCAGCGTTGGCTCTTGGTACAGCTGGGGCTGCAGGTGGCCACCTGGGAGGCGGCCTGAAGGCCAGCACCCCCTGCTCCTAAGCCAGCCAGGCTTGCACCCACCCCTGACCTCTAGGAGCCCCAGATCCGAGACCCACAGGCTGCCATGACCGCTGTGTCCTGGGCATTGCAGAGGGAGATAGTCAAAGACCCACTCCACAGGGCAGGCTCTCAGCCCCCTGCTCCCTCTATCAGCGACAACAGCTGCCCTCTGTCCCCTCATCCCCCAGTGGGGTCCCCAGCACCTGCAAGGGTGGGCACTCACCTTCCAGTATCCCTGTCCCCAAGATGGTGACATTGCACAAGGAAACATCACGGTGGGCGGAGAAAGGTGGAGCTGGGATAACCTCGTCCTGCCTGTTGGGCCAGGGACTCTGCATTCTGCCCTGAGCCCAGCCGCCCGCCTGGCAACCGTGGGGTCATGGTCCCGACCCCTCCCTCCATGACACAAGTGCCTGAAGCCAGGGTGGGGTGGCTCTGTCACCAAAGCACTCTGGGCCCAGCCTGCTGTCCCCTCGGGCCCCTCCACAGCACCCATCTCCTCATGCACGGCCCCCAGATGCTCCCTGAGGCACTCCTGAGACACCCCAGGGCCCCCGAGTCATCCAGCCGGAACCGTGTCTCTGCCTGTGGCTGGAACCCTCTGCACACACAGGGGCCATGCAGATGTGAGAGCACAGAGCTACCTGGGGACTCCCTCGTGGCCGTGGCTCTGGAGACGCTCTGTAGCTGGTGTCAGGACATCTAGGGTGCCAGGGAGGGGTTTATGCCTAGGGAGCTTTCGCCCATGCCACCCATGGTGACTCGGGGCAGCCCCCGCACGTGCGTACCAGGCCCTTGAGCCCACACCCAGAAGCCTTGGATCCACCAACAGCCGCTGGTCCCTCCATGACCGTGATCCTGGTGCCACACGGAGCCCCTCCTCACTGCGCCCTGGCAGGGTCTGCAGCCGGGCTCCCTGGGCCCGAGTCCTCCCCGTCCTCCTCGCTGGGCGTGCACGGGCATCGCAGACCTCTCGGTGCCCGGCTTCCTCACCTGTGAGGTGGGTGAGGCTCCCATGAGGGGGTGCAGGCGGAGGCTGAGGACCGGGCCTGTGAGGGGCGGCAGGCAGTACCCTGGCCCTGGGCTGCTGTGGGTTCTGGGGTCCAGTTTTTGAGCCTTTCCTGGCCCCCGACAAAAACCGCACCAGGCTGCAGGGTCGAATTAGACATGAGGAAGCCACGGCCAAGGTTCGACCCTGGAGGAGACAGCTGGCCACGTGGGGCTGCCTGGCCCAGTGAGTCCAGGACATGCTGCGGTCCCACTAGAGCCAGGACTTGGTGCGCTTGGTCCACACTGGGACCCCGCCACTTCCCAGGACTTCACGAGCCAAGTCAGTGTCTCCTTTGTGGGGTGTCAAAGGCTCCGGAGCCACAGCTGAGCATGACACAGGACTGGAGCGATTTGGTATAGAGAAGCACCCGGAGAAGACAAGGCAGTGGCCAGAGCAGTGCGATCTGGATGCTCCTGAGTCTCCAGAACTGCACGGGCAGCCAGCTTCTGTCCAAGAGGCCCCTTCCTGACCTCAACCAACAGCCAGAGTTCTCACGTTCCTGGGGGGCCTACACCACCACGGGGGCCCCAGCAGTGCACACCTCCCGGGTCCTCCTCCTCCTCCCCCCTCAGCCGGGAACGCTGGCCTCATCTGTGGGCCAAAGGGGTAGTTTAAGTTGGGTCTCAGGCCCGTGGATGGCTGCGCCTGACCAGACCATCATGGTCTGAGGCTCCGCAGAGGGTAGCCCAGTGCTCTGGAAGGTTGAGGAAGAAAAACCACAAGTTCAAGCCCAGCGTGGGGAAATTGGCAAGACCTTATCTCAAAATAAAAGATAAGAAAAATGCTGAGGATGTAGCTCACTGTGAAGGACCTAGGTTCACTCCCCAGGACTGTGGAAGGAAGGAGATGGAAGGAGAAGGGAAGGGGAAGACGAAGGGAGAAGGGACAGGGAGGGGCAGGGAGGGGCAGGGAGGAACAGAACAGAGGGAAGGAGAAAGGGAGAGAAAGGTCTTTTGTCCCCAGATCAGGGCAAGAACAAGGTCAGAAGCCCCAGTGTGGCTGGAGCAGGCCTGATGCTGTGTTTCAGGGACTCGAAGCCAAACAGCCGGATGCCCAGGCCACCGCTGCCAAGGGACAGGGGCTGTTTGCATGGCGCCTCCTTGGGGCCTGAGCTGCAGAGCCTGTTCAGGGCTGGCTGTCTGGGAAGCAGCTCTGGCACGAAGTGGCAAAGACTAAGGACATCCCAGTGGACCTGCAAAGCCAGAAGCAGGGTCTCCCATCCACAGGGTGTGCAACAGACCCCCCACCAGCCCTACCTTGCCGTGGGTCTGAATTTCATAGCCCCAGGCAAAACTGTGGGCTACAGCTGCTGCTGACCTGTACTGCCCTCCCCTCTGGGCCTCACTCACTGAGGGGTACTTGTCAGGCAGCAGCCAGCAGGGTGGCAGTGGGGACCAGGTGACCCAAAGGGATGCACGACTCAAAACTCCCAAGCTCAGAGCCCAGCCTGCCCCCGCCCCAGGAGGGTGCCGGCCCTTGACTTTCCGACACAGCGTTTCCGAGCTGCCCACAGCTGCCCTGAGGTGCCCACGCCTGTTCCCGGAAGGGCTAGCTCACTGCAGCCCTGGAGGCAGGGGGATCAAGAGCTCCATTTTCCAGAAGGAGAAACTGAGGCATGCCAAAGGTGCCAAGGTGTGCCAGTTCGAGGAAGGGGTGGAGCTCAGCCCATCAACCTGGCCAGGGTTCTGAGTTGCTCATTTTCTCCCAGCAGCTGAAGGCATCTGATTGCTCTCGAGAACTGGGTTGAGCTGCATGCACAGACACGAGTCAGGGGCCTCTAAGGAAGGAGTCCGGATAACCAGAGCCTGCCCTGCCCCAGGTACGGGGACCCCACATGAGAGCTGGGGCGTGGGCTCAGTGACCCAGTGCCATGGGCCGGGGGTGCCAGCCTGCAGGGGCCCCTGGGGCCAGCGCCACCTGCTGGGCAGAGAGAGGAAGCTGTCCGTCCTGCCCTACTCCCGGGGCTGGAAATAGAGGCCAAGCCGTCCTAAGGGCCCACGGCCAGGGACAAGGGGTAGGAAGCGAGTGAGGTGCTCTGGCCTCCCCAGCTGACAGGAGAGGGAGGGAAACACTGGATGCGGCGCAGGAGTCAGGTGTGACTGGGTGGCCTGGGATCCCCGCCCTCTCTGGGCCTCAGTCTCCTCACCTGTGTGGCGGAGGAGAGGTTGGCACCCGCTGCTGCCCATGGACAGGGGAGGCGGCGGCCTTGGTGCAGGGCTGGCCCTGGACAGCATCTGTGTGCATGAGGGGTTTTCAAGACCCATGCGGGCAGAGCCATGCGGACTTGGGGAGGGCAGAACCAGACAGGGCAGGGGTCAGGAAGGGCCGAGGGGCCGTATCTGCCCGGCAGAGCCCGGGGTCTGGAGGGACCATTGGGCTGGAGCCTGGATTAGACAGGGGGCTGCCAGGAGGGGGGGACCTGGTGGTACCGGTCCTGGGCCTCTCCCGCGTCTCCGGGGGCAGTGACGCCCCCAAAGCAGCTGCCTTCCCCAGTCCACTCTGCCCCAGGCCAGGAGACGTGAGGGTCATTCCAGTCCTGCACAGAGCTGGCGCCTGCTCTGGGGCCAGCTGGTCAGTGTTCAGGCCGCCAGGCTGGGACAGGAGCCACGAGGAGCCACCCCCGCCTCCACTGTGTCCCCCGAAGAGCAGTCGCTGCCAAGCCCCAAGAAGGGGCTCCCGGCTGCCCCAGGCCGGCACCTGTCTCACCCTCAGGACCTTCCCTCTCGGCGCCCTCCCCCGTAAGCCCAGCAACACATGTTCAGCAGTGCTGCCCCTGCTCCGCCCCCAAGCTGACAGCCCGGGCCTGGAGCTCACAGCTGCAAAGCACATGCCCCATGCACAAGAGCCGCGGCGGAATGTTCTCCTGCTGGGGAGAGGGCTCCCCGCACCTGGCATGGCCTGCAGTTTCCTCTCCACCTTCTCCCGCTCCTGGGGGTGAGGGCCAGGGGCTGGGGCAAGCGGAGCACGGAGGGCAGTCAGGGCCTCGGACACAAGGAGCCTCGCCTCCCTCCCAGCACACAGCAGGGACTGGTTTTCCCGTCCGTGAGGCCAGCCCCGCCCCGCCCACCTCTGTAGACTTTCATTCATTCTTTTAATAGTCATTCAGCAGTGTTTGTTGGAGACCCGCAACATGAGGGTCTTGGGCACAAGGGGCTAGGGCAGGGGGCCAGCAGCCCGAGCCCCGGCCCTGGACCCTGCTGTCCAGTGTCCAGCCACAGGTGGATGGGAAAGTCACGGTGCGTGGGGACACTCGTCTTGGGATGGGGGTGCTGTCAGTCACAGACCCACAGACCCACAGACCCTGGCCTGGCTGCACATGAGCAAGGCCTCCCCATGCAGGAGAGGCGGGAAGATGTAGCACTGGGAATGGGGAGGCCCAGGGCAGGGGTGTGGGAGCCAGGGGTCCGGGATGGCCAGCCAGGAAGTCTCCGAGGACACATGCACTTCCTCCGAGGGCTGCAGGTACCTGAAAGGGGCTTAAGCAGTGTGATGCGACCAGGCATCTCAAGCCAGGTGTTCTGTGGCAAACAGCAGGTATGAGCCACAGCCACCTGCAGGCTAGAAAGAGGTTTCTGGAAAGTCATGGGACGGGGGCTTGCAGGCAGAAGGACAGGTGGCTCATCTGGGCCCCAGAGCAGGGCGACATGGGCAGCCTGGGGCCGGACAGCACTCATTCCAGTTCCCAGGAGGAGGAGGAGGGTGTGGGACGTGGCCGTCCTCAACCAGAAGGACGGGCCCGGGGCAGCGATGTCATGGACCCACACACTTCAGGGCCCCACGACGATGATGAGAGTTCCAGAACAAAGTCAGACCTGGGCGTAGCAGCAGCTGATTCTGCTGGGGGCTCCCCGGGAAGGGGTGCTGGGAAGGAGTGTTGTGGGGTACACATGTGTACACCTGTCGGACAAACCAGGCCACATCTTAGCACCTGTGCACTTGTCCTGTGCAAACCATGCCACAGAGGCAAAATGCAAAGGAAGTCGGACGTTTCGCTGACCGCAGTCCAACTCGTCGATCCTGGGTCCAGCTGGCCACACGCATATCAGTCCCTGGCTGCAGGGCGAGGGGGGCCCTGCCCAACAGGCCCCCCCAAGCCTCGGGGCACAGAGAAGGTGACTGTTGGAGCCAGTGAGGGGTGATGTGGGGAGAGGACGGAGGAAAGCAGAGAGGGCAGCCTGGCTGAGCTGTGGCCGCACACGGGCACAGGGGCAAGGGTCCCGTCGGCAGAGTTGGTGTCACCCAGCACCCACGCCCAGGGGTCTGCTGGCCCTGGGGAGGGGCCCATGGAGGGTGGCCAGAGGTCAGGCTGCACACACGGGGGCTTCCCCAAGGTGGCCGCCCCTCTGCTCCACCGTGAGAGGCTGGCAAGGCCAGGGCTGATCACATGGCTGTCAGCTGTCGGGCCGCCGGGGGCCGCTCAACACCTGCCTCGTCTGCTCTTCAGCCTGGGTGTGGGCGCCCACAGCTGCACAGCCTCGGTCAGAGCCAGCCTTCTCCCAGCCAGCCGTCCTGCACCCATGGGGACGCTCATGGCCAAGCTGCTCCTGCCCACCCTCAGCAGCCTGGCCCTCCTGCCCACCATCAGCGTGGCTGCCAGGCGCCGCTTCCACATGGAGGCCATGGTCTACCTCTTCACCATGTTCTTCCTGGCCGTGAGTCTGGGGCTGCAGGGGCAGAGGCAGGGGTGTCTCCCGGCCGGTCTGTGCTGAGGGAGGAGAGGGGACTTCGGGAAGTGAAAGAAAGCATCCAGGGTGGGGTCTGGAGAGGCGGAGGGAGGGTTGCCAGAGTCCCGCCCCCTCTCTGGCCTCAGTTTCCCCATCTGCGCTTTCCTGTGCATGAGACCGAGCCCAGGGAGGCCCGTGTCCTCCCCTTCCCCAGCCTCCCACCCCACCCCCTCCTGCCCTGGCCCCCGCTGGGGAGCCGGGCCTGGCTGGGGGAGTGTGGGCCGCGGGCAGTGTGTGCAGGCCCTGCCTCCCCGCACGTCTTTCTCTTGCTATTTATGTCTGGCTCCCTGGAGCTCTGCTCCCTCTGTTGCCCTGCTCACTTTCCAGGTAACTGTCATAGGCTGGTTTTTGCTTCTTTTATAAAGTGGAGCACCTGGCACCCGCCACCTTTCTGGGAGTCCTCGCCCCTGGGGCCTTATCTCTCCTCTTCCCTGTGGGTCTCTCTCCTTCTCCTCCTCTCTCCCTCTCTCTCCCTCTCTCCCTCTCTCCCTCTCTCCCGTATCCCCACAGAAGTCATCTTTTCCTGCCCCCCTTGGCCTTCCTGAGCCCCACCCCCTCACGTCCCTCTGGCCCTATCTGTCCGTCTCTAGCTTGCTGCTATCTATCCACCGACCTGTGACTTATGTATCTCTCGGCCACATGATCTGCCATCCACATGCGGTCCATCGCTCTGATCTAAATCTACCTAACATCCCCATCCAGCCTGCCGCCTGTCCATCCTGCATGACTCCCAGCACCCACCTCGAAGCCTCCACCATCTCTACCTTTGTTGTCTCTGTCCTAGCGTCCACATGTCCTCAGGTCGCTGAGTCCCCAGGCCTCCCCCAAGGTGCCCCCACTGGGCTCCCACAAGAGCCCCCTCCCAAACAGCCAGCCCCGTGGGACAGGGCCCGGGGAGTGGGGCCCCATCCTCCTCGTGTGGCGGGGGACCTGTGGAGACCTCCCGCCCACGTGGCTGGGCCATGCATGCGTGAGCACCCGGCGGCTCTGGCTGGAGCGGCCCCGTGAGCACACGGTCTGCACACTGTCCCTATGACCCCTGCGTCCCGGGTGGACCAGGTCCAGCACCCCCGGCAGCACACGGCTGTGGTAACAGTGACCTGGGACAGAGCAGGCCCCAAGGAGCCGGGGGCCCTGGGACTCTGCATCCTCCTGGGCTAGGCGACAGCAGCCACAGGCCTGGCACCCCATTCCCAGGGCCGATGAAGAGACTGAGGCCCAGGCGGCTGAGGGCGGGCGTCATCGTCGCTGGCATCACAGCTCTGAGCCCCTGGAGGGACCCGGCCTGGCCCGCACCAGGCAGTCTGCTGGGCAGAGCAAAAGCCAAGCTCAGAGCCCAGGCCAGGGGCAGAGCAAGGTCTCGTCCCCAGACCCAGGTCCCCCAGCTCACCCCAGGGACCAGCTGGGCGTCCTCCCCTCGGCCGCCTCACAGCTGCCTCCCTGGCTGGCCTCAGAGGCCACCGCCCTCCAGCCCCACCCAGAGTGGCAGGGGCAGCTGCCTCCGGTGACAAATGTCCTTCGGCCTCAGAGCCACAGCCTGCGCCTCCCAGAATTCCGCCTTGAAGTGGCTCCCGGGAGACGCCACGCCCCACAGACCGTCTGTCCTCGTCCTGCTGGTTCAGCCTCCTGACTCAGCCCCCACAGCAAGGATCCACTGGGTCTGAGCACAGATCTGAGCTCCTACCCACCCCGCAGAGCCCTGGCCAGGCTGGGCGGCTACTGTGTCAGCGTGGGGATGCTGGATTCTGGGGGTCCCTGTCCCCCTCACCCCCTTTGCCAGGTGGTGCTGTGCAGGTCGCCTCTGCTGCCCACAGAGCTGGCTCCCGGCAGGAGGAGTCCACACACCCCCGAGCCCCTGGATCAGGCCCCAGCTGGAGCTCTCCGCCCCCGCTGACCAGGCCTGTCCTGCACCACGCCACCCGCCTCGACCCTCTTCTTTGCCATTATCACTCTTCAAAGAGCGCAGCACCAAAGTTCAGTGCAGCTCGCCAGGAGCCCCCTGCCCCTTCCCGGCCGCCTCTGAAGCCCAGGCCGCCGGCATCCGCCATCAGCGGCTCCTAGCCTAACCTGACTTGCTGGGCTCTCGGGCCCCTCGGGGTTCCTGCTCCCCCCAAGCACCCCCAGCCCGGCTCACCAAGAGCCCTTGTGCTGCTCCCCAGCCGAACTTGTCAAAACAGTTGTCTCGTGGAATTGAATAGTCCTTCAATGAGGAGATGCGTGTGCAGAAGGAGAGCTGTTTCCTGGAAGGAATCACTTCCCTGGTTGGAAGAACACTCCAGAGAGACACTTCGCTTTAGGAATTGCCATTCGGTCGGTGTCGGGGAGACAGCTGCAAGAAGGTGGGGAGACCAGCAGGTGTGGCTGCAGCGGCCCTGGGAGTTCGTTGAGAAACTCATCTCGACCCCCAGGGCCAGCAGCTCTGAGATGCAGGGCTCAGGGCTTCCTCAGCAAGGCCCCCAGCGACCAGCGCCCCCTCCAGCCTGAGAACGCTGTAGACCAGGGCTTCTGCGGGTCACGAGGGTCTGGTGGCCCCTCGAGAAGGCCTGGCCTGGCATAGCGGTGCACACCTGTGATCCCAGCACCTGGGAGGCTGAGGCAGGAAGACTACAAGTTCCAGCCAAGCTCAGCAATTTAATGATTCAGTGAGACCCTGTCTCAAAATGAAATTAGAAAAGGGCTGAAAATGTAGCTCAGTATGGAGGTCCTGGGTTCAGTCACCAGGGCTGCAAAGAAGAGGGAAGGGAGAGAGGGTAGGGCAGGGGAGGGGAGAGGAGAAGAGGTCACGGAAGGTGGGTACGGGTCAGGCTTTGTCCCCACCTCTCCAGCTCTGGTGACCACCCCACCTCAGCCAGGTCAGGTCCCTGCCAGTGAGACACCGGCCGGGCCCTTAGCACCCCAGGTCTGAGCTCCCTGCCTCTGCATCGCCCCTGCACAGCACCCTGGGGTGGGCGCTGGGGCACTTTGATCAAACGGGAGCTGATGGCCTCGGTTTCCCCGCAGCTCCACCACGCATGCTCTGGGCCTGGCTTGTCCATGCTCTGCTTCCTGCACCAGGACATCCTGGAGTACTTCACCATCTACGGCACAGCGCTGAGCATGTGGGTGTCCCTCATGGGTGAGTGGCCGCGCCCAGCCCTGGCCCCAGCACTGCGGTCTCCATGTGGGCTCCTCACGGGCCCTGTGGGACCTGGGCACCCCAATTCACTCCCACAGGGGTCTTTCATGAAGACAGGGTGCTCTCCCCAGGAAGCAGCATCCTGCCTTTCCTCTAACACAGACTGAGACACCGGGGGGGGGGGCACCTGTAATCCCAGTACTCGGGGAGGCTGGGCCAGGAGGATCAAAAGTTCAAGTCCAACCCTGTCTCAAAATAAAAAGTAGTGAGGATGTAGCTCAGGGTGAAGGCCCCGGGTTCAACCGCCAGTACCACAGTCAGTCCGTCAATCTGATCAAGTGGGGTGGAATGCAGAGCTCTCCAGACCTTATGGGGCCACAGGATGGCCCTTCGTGGCCACCTAAGTCTGGGCTCAGCCAGGAGGGCGAGGGGCACTCACCGCTCAGGGTCCCCCCTGCCCCAGCGCTGGCTGACTTCGACGAGCCCCAGAGGTCCACCCTGGTGATGCTGGGCGTGCTGACCATCGCGGTGCGGACCTACCACGACCGCCAGGGCTACGGCGTGTACTCGGGCCCCATCGGTACTGCCACCCTCATCATCGCAGCCAAGTGGGTGCGTGCGGCCCCTCCCCTCCCCGGGACCTCCTCTCCCTCCCCGCCTCACGGGAGCCAGGCAGAAGCTGGTAGCGATGACGACCGGGTGCCCAGGCCCACGCTGTCAGGTCCCCGACCTCAGTCAGCAGAGCTGAGTGAAGCGGGGCCGACCCCGGCAAGACCTGCACCCCGGGTGGGCTCGCAGTGCAGAGGAAACATGGAGGACGGGCCTGGAGCTCATTAGCAGAGCAGCTGGGGAGAACGTGGGGGGCTTCCCGGGGACAGTGAGCCGGGGCGAGGCTCCAGCTCGGAAGGAGGGTGTGGGACGCGGCAGACACCTCCCGAGTCGGGCTCCAGCCCTGAGGACCCCGAGGACCCGGGGGCAGCGCCCACAGCCCAGCCTGTCACCCTCGGGCCCACTTCCTGCTGCAAGGCTGGGACCCGCTCAGGCAGCCACAGTGAAGGTGGGACAGTGTGGCAGCCTCCCAGGACCCACTCCAGGGGCCAGGAGAAAAGCGCAGGTCCAGGAGGCCAGCTGGCTCCAGACCAGGGCCTCAATGCGGGACAGGCTGCGGGGGCCCCAGATGGTGGGGGGGTCCCCAGGGGAGGAGGTATCCGCTCCTCTCCAAGCCATCGGGCACAGGGTTTATTTTGCCACTTGGGTAAGGGAGAAAGTGAGGCACCGGGCGGTCAGGGACCAAATGCAAAGCCCCAGCAGGGCAGCTATGGGTGGGCTTGACTCTGGCAAGAGACAGGAGTCCCTCTCTCAGCTGCAGGTCGAGGAGCACCATGCCCCGGTCTGACTCTGAGCCCAGCTGCCTAGGGGTGGCTTGAGGTCCCCCTAATGAGCGCTCTGGGACTCATGAACACAGATGCCCCCTCAGAACGCCTGTCTGGTCCACCCGAGGTCTGTTCCTCGAGGCTCTTGGCCGCCTCTGAACCTCTGAACCCGACTAGGCTCTAATTAGCCAGGACAGAATTCACTCCCTGTCCTTACTGGATGCCAGGAGGCTCCCAAGGCCCAAGGCCGGTGCTGTCCCCAGGAACAGGCGATGCTGGCCGCCATCCCCCGTGTCTGGGCTCAGACTGTGCTTTCCAGACGGAGTACACCATTTATCTTGAGTTTTTGAGGGCGGTTGCTTCCTGGAACGTGGATGGGTTTTTCTCCCAAGCTCAAAGCATACTTGGGGAGCAGAAACAGAGAGAGCTGGAACTGGGCATGGTGGCATACTCCTGTAATCCCAGCATTCTGGAGGCTGAAGCAGGAGGATCACCATAAGTTTGAGGCCAGCCTGGGCTACACAGTGAGAGCTGTCTCAAAGAAAAGGAAAGAAACAGAGCTAAGGGATGGGGCGTCCAGGGCCAGGCTGGGTCCCCCCCCTTGGGCCTTGGTGCTGCCATCACAGGGCTAGCTAGCGGAGGGCAGTCACCCCGGCTAGGCTTCAGCTCAGGCCCATGCCCACTCCGCCAGCCTGGGGCCAGTCCCCAGGGACACCTGTCCATGATGGTGAGTTCCAGGGCACTGGAAACCGGGCGTTACATCAGGACTCATGGCAGCAGAATCTGCCGGACCAAACGCTATCCCGTGCACCCCTCCCATGGTGGTGTGTGCCCTGCGATGCTGCCCCACGCCCTGCACTTACACCTCGTGCTGGATGTGCAGCTCTGGGGGCCCGGGGTTACCCTGTCGTGTCTGTGGTCCCCATCCGCCCAAGCTCCACCCCTGCCACAGTCTGGGTTGGGCGCCACTGCCCCCAGTGCCAGGGCCCCAGAGTGGAGCACACCTCATGCTGTGCAGGTGGCTGGGCGTTCACTAGAGTCCCACAGCCACCACCCCGGCCCGGGGCTGGCAGGTCCCCGGTGCTGAGTCTGCTCAAGGTCCCATGGAGGGGAGCAGGGTCCTGGGCACAATAGCCCAGAGGTCTCCAGCCCGGCCACTGCTCCTGCCCTGCCCGGGTCCTCCGCTGGCCACCCTGCTCAGGCATGTGGCGGGGGTGGCCGGGTGAGGGGTGGCCATATGAGGTCCCCATAGCCAGAGGGCTCAGGAGGGCAGTGCCCCTGCAGGCCTGAAAAGTGTGGCCATCGGCCCTGTGCCCACAGCTGCGGAAGATGAAAGAGAAGAGAGGCCTGTACCCCGACAGGAGTGTCTATGCCCAGCAGGTTGGTCCTGGCCTCTGCTTCGGGGCGCTGGCCCTCATGCTGCGCTTCTTTTTCCAGGTACAGTGGGCGTGGAGAGGCCGCATGCACAGTGCGGGCCGGGGGGACACCGAGGGAGGAGGGTGGAGTGCAGATTCAGTGAGTGGTGTCTGGTGGCAGAAAGGCCACCACAGCCAGGGGACACGCAGGCTAAGGGGGCGTGAGCAGACCTGGGCCCTGTTCCCTGCAGGAGTGGGATTACACCTACGTCCACAGCTTCTACCACTGCGCCCTGGCCATGGCCTTCGTCCTGCTGCTGCCCAAGATCAACAAGAAGGCAGGCGACGCGGGGGCCCCAGCCAAGCTGGACCTCTCCACCCTGTGCTGCGCCTGTGTCTGAGGGCGCCCAGCCTGCTCTTCCCCACCCGCTCCGTCCCCTGTGCCCTCCCGCCCAGCATGTCTGGGAACAGCGGTCTCTTTCACACCCCCAGAGGACCCCAGGGACCGGCCCGGTATCCCCCGGGTCCACTGCAGGCACGGCTTTCCTACTTCCTCCTCTGCGACCAAGACCCGGGGTGCATCTGCCCTCCGGCCCGGGCCCGGCCCAGGGCCCCACCCCAGGGGATCTTCAGCATCCCGAGGGCGTGTGCCCAGCAGGCTCAGCTGTTCTCTCCTGAAGTCTGTCGTCACCGCTTCTGTCCCCTTCCCTAAGCTCTGGTGGTTCCCAAGAGGGCCGGCTCTCTCCCTGCCCCAGGCTGGCACCCCGTGCCCCCAGCTGGCTTCAGCAACCATCGGGAGCAGCTCCCCACCACCTTCTGCCTGTCAGCACTGTTCAAGTCCCATCCTTAAACAAGCCACCCTCCTGCTGACCACGACAAGCGCCCATGCCCACAGTGGACAGGCGGGCCCCCGGCTCCCCTGCAGGGTCCTCCATGCCCTCCTGCCACCCTGGGACCCTGTGTCCTCCCCGGCATGGCCATGGCTGGGGCGGCGCCCGGGAGCTGAAGCTCTGCATAGGCTGGGAGGCATCTGGCTCAGCCATGGGGTGGGGGGAGCCCCATCTGTGGCAGCTGGGGCTGGGGAGGCGGTGGCCGAGGTCCCAGACATCACCTCAGAGCCCCGCCCACCCACTTCCCAGTGACTCTGTTCATCCGCTGGCAGGAAGTTACCTACACCTGTCTGGGGCCTGTTTGGGTTTCCAGACGGCCACCAAGGAGCCAGAGGGGTGGCGGCTGATCTGTCCTAAAGTCACCTCCTGCGGTCCCCAGGGGGGCTGGGGGGGGGGCACTGCCACATCTGGGCATCTGCGTCCTTTCCCGACCCCACTCAAGCCTCACTGGCCCCATCTGCTGCCTCCCTGATCATCAGAGCCCTGGCTCTTCCCAGCTGGCCCTGTCCTGGCCTTGATGGCAGGCATGGTCTCTGCCAGCCTCAGCCCTCTGGCCCTGCCGGAGCCCCTCGCACTGGCTGGTGCCCAAGGGTAGGGCTCTCGCCTTCTCAGCCCTCACCTGGGCCAGGGCGGTTAGCGCCTCACTCCCAGGCCAAGGGACCACAGCCTGGGGCTGGAGGAAGGGACCTGCCTCTCACCCCGTGTGATCCACCATGGGGTCCGGGACAGAGACAAAGGGCCCTACCAACTGCTGGGCCTCCTTGGCTGCCATGCACGCACCACGCCGGCACAAGGACACATGTGCACAGACAGACATGCACATCCTGCACACAGACGGGGCACCCTGGACCCCAGCCCCTCGGTGTGGCCCTCCATAGCAACGGCCTGATTTATGGAGCCACCTGGGAGCTCTGCCAAGTCTGTAAGTCATGGACGATTAGGAGAAGTGGCCCAGCTCTCAGCCCCGGGCTGGGCTTGTCCCCACGGCTAGGGTGGGGCACTGAGCAGGTGACAGTGCCCAGGATTTAAGAGCCGCTTTCCAGCTGTGTCCTCCTTGGTGGCCTCACACTGAGGGCCAGGAGGGGCCGGTTTGGGACAGAAGGGCAGGAAGGGAGGGATCCCCAACTCCCTCAACACTCACAAGGGCCAGGCCTCGAGACTAGCAGGAGAGGACCCCAGGCTCACGCACCTGAGCCCCCGTGTTGTTGAGCCCTGGGTCAGAAACTTCAGGTGCTTGTGTGCCCCAGAAGTCCCAGCACAGTGCTGTGGGACAGAGCTTGCCTGATGGTGGCAACACTCGGAGCCGTCGGGTGACCAATTCTGGGAGACGCAGCTGGTGCCAGAGAGCAGCTGAGGCCTCCAGGGTGGCCGATTTTAACTGTGTCTAAATGCCACGTGTGCAGGCAGGGCTGAGATAAAGCCAGGTGGCACCCGAGTTTCAAATGCACCGTGGACGATCCGATGGTGGAGTGTGTCTTGTGTGATATTCGGGACGTATGTGTAGGAGACACACTTACACAGAAAAATGAACTGCTGTGTGTTCAGCAAATGATCGAGTGTCCCCAGGGGTCGGCAGCCCTGCCCACAAGCCCCACGACTCAGTACTGGGCACTGGGTGGCACGTTTGAGACATGGGGGGAAGGGAGTGCCCTGCACAGATGGTTTTGGGGACCTGGATTAAGCCAGGAGACAGGAGCGGTGGCCTTGCAGCAGGGATGCCCCTGGCTGGAGGGTGCGGCCTTCCTCCCGGCTGGGCCCCTTCTACGTGGGGAGAGCGGTGGGCACAGACTCCCCACTGCCTTCCTGGGCCTGGCATGGCTTCCAAGCCCTGTGTCCCACCTCCCATGTCACATGTGCCAGTGCCAGCCCACCCGGCACCCCTCCTGGTACACACCCCGGGGCTGGCTCAGGGGCCACACACACACGGAGAGCATTGCAAACATTTACAATAATGTAGACAAAACAGTCTATTATAGTGCTCTCCCCACTCCCCGGCTGGCAAGAGGCTGGCAGGGCACCGAGGCTGGCTGGGCCCAGGCCAGGACGGCCCCAGAGCACACGCCGAGGGCTTCTTGTCTGAAGCCAGTCTGCACGCCATGCTGTGGCCTTTGTCGAGTCGGCTCTTGAAACTTCCTGTCTCTGTTATTCTCCTCTCCAGGAAGACATCTGAAACCCAAAACTTTTATTGCCCCTTCTAAAAAGCCTTTAAAAAGAGGCTCCCCGCTGACTTCCTAGCAGCCCATCCTGCCCTGTCCCGCTCTGTGCAGAGCTGGGATTGTAGTTAGGGCAGCGCACTGGGCGCCGCGGAAGGAATGCAGCTTGGTCTCGCCGGCCGGCCTTAGGGCCCTGGCCAGGGAGGACCCGGGAAGGGGAGGGGCCGCAGGAGGTGGCAGCTGCGGGAGGGAGGGCGGGCATGGGTGTCTGTGTCTGCCCGTGCCCTGGTGGCAGCAGCAGAGGGCCTGTGGCCCCAACAGCTGCCGCCTTCCCACACCGCAGGCTGCGTCACTGGACCCTCTCCGCCATCTGTACTCCTCTTCCTCCCCTTCCAATGGAACAGCAGCCTAGCCCCATGGTGGCCCTCCGGGTCCCCAAATGAATGGAATCGTCAGGATATTAAAATTGCAGATAAAACACATGGAAGGCAAGATGAGGTTCAATGTGGGCCAGGGAAAAGGCTTGGAACTGCAAGGCCTGGGTTCCAGTTTCCCCTCTCCCACCCAGCAAGCCCCACCACGTGTCCACCCGGCCTGTTTCCCTGTCTGTAATGTGCCCACCTCATGTGACTGTTGTCAAGACTAAATGAGATGGTTTTGTACCTTAGCACTGTATTCTTAAGCAGCATTTTAAATGGCGAGCATTTCTACTTTCATGATCTTCAGTCAAGGGTGAGGAATGGGAGATCTGGGGTTTTAGAGGCTCCTTGGCATAGCAGGTGCCCCCACCAACATCTGCACCACCAAGGAGACAGTAAGTGCTTCACACCTGGTGCCCAAGAGTGGCACCGAGGGCTGCGGAGGGAGCCACCAGGCATCCTAGAAAAGGCAGGGTTGAGACTGAAGCAAGCCCAGCAAGGTGGACCAGAACTGGCATCCTGGCACCTGCAGCTGTGCCCAGGATGGTGCCACAGTTCCCTGCATCCTTAATTGCCCTGATTTCCTGCACGTTTTCCAGGGCAGCAAGCAAACCACCAGGCCCCCAGTGGAGAACGGGCAGCCACCACCTGGCCTCTGTCACTGCCATCGGTCTCCAGGGGCCCTGGCTCCTGCCTGTCTGGGGCCCACAGTCACCTGAGGCCAAGGGTACAACAGGAAGGTCCCCTCCTGCCCTCTCAAGGACCTGGGAACAGAGCAGCAGGCGGGCTGTAAACTGCAACCTTGCAAGGGGAAGGGCAGGTACCCTCCACGCCCAAGGTCATGGCTCCAACCTGACCTGAAAGGCAGGACACACAGGCCTCCGCCCTGAGGGCCTGGATTAAACAGCACCTCACACCCACAGCCTCCAGGGGCAACCATGTTCCCAGCCAGCCCCTCGACAGGGAGGAAGAGAAAGCATCACCAGCGGGCACTGTTTGGCAGCTCCAGGCAGGAGGAGGGAGTGCAGGGAGAGACCTACTGGCAGGCCAGGTTCAAGGGTCTGAGGGTATTAGGTGGGGTTCTGCCACCAGGAAGAAGGGGCAGGAGTGGCCTGGAGCCCAGGGAGGGGCCTTCAAGGGCAGAGGAAAGAGGCTGGAGCCATGGCCTGAGACAGGACTTTGTGGGGGCCCCATTGCGTCCTAGCTGCCCCCTATTCCTGCCGCCTTGCTGAGCCCATGATGGCCCTGAGAGGTGTGTCCACACAGCAGCCCTTGGCCTGGGCCCTCAGCCTGGGGACCCTGCCCAGCAGGGAGGGGTGCTGGGCAACTGGTCAGGAAAGCTCTTGGGTGGCCGACTGGTTTGGCAAAGCATACGAGTCACAACCACCCTGCTTCCCGGGTCATGCGCTCCCCTGTGTCCAGCAAACCAGGGGACCTGGGCAACCCTGCAGTAAGACCACTCAGCCACAGGTGGCAGGCACAGGGGTGTGGGGTGGGGTGGATGGGCTCATCTACCCCCATCTCCCAGACAGGTCCACACCCAACGAAGAGGAGCTCGTGACCAGAGGCCCCTCTGGCCCCTGCTGACTGTCCCCAAGAGTGGGCAGGGAGCAGCTGTGGCGTGCCCACCCCAGGGCTGTCCAGTGCTCCTGGGCCACCCCACAGGACAATGTAGGGAAAGAGCCCCCACTCTGCACTGCAGGGGCCTCTGCTGACCACGGCTCCCTGGGTACTGGGCCAGCAAGGCCAGCAGAGGACCAGGGGCCAGAAACGCCCCTACCCCCCGCCACAGGGACTGTAGAGGATGGAGGGACAGAGGCTCGGCAACCAGTGGGGAGCCCTTTGGCAGGGAGTGGCCTGCAGACAGCCACGAGCCCCCTAAGTTCAGGGCCAGGTGGGGCCTGCAGAGGAGGACAAGAGGCCGGCACAGGGCTACGCCTGCCCAGGGCTCCCGCCCAACCTCCCTCCCCTCCTGCAGAGAACCTGGGCCTCCTTGGCCTCTGCTGGCGTTTGTTTTCCTGACAGCCTGGCTGCCCGGAGCTGCTGGCCCAGAGTCCCAGCTGGAGCCAGGCTATCGGGTGGCCGCAGCCACATCTGGAAGCCATTTGGGCAGCTCCCCACCACCACGGCAGCCGCTCAGCATGCAGCTGAGAAGTGTCACTGCCAGCTGGGGCTCTGGGAGCTGCGGCCTGAGACCACCAACCCTGCGCTGTCCGAGGCTGGCAGCAGAGGAGGCGGAGGGGACCGAGTCCTCTGGGCTCCAGTACCGCCTGGGTCCAGAAACTGTGGAATGGCAGAATCTCGGTGTCAGCTCGGAAGGCAGCCACAGAGGTCCCAAGGGCCAGCAGGCTGTGCCCTTGAGCACCTGCTCCTCCTCACCGGCCCTTCAGACTGACATCACCCGTGACGGACACC